CGAAAAATAGCGTCTATTAGCACGTCAATAGAGAGGCTACTGCTACTACTACTACTACTACTACTACTATTACTCCACCTGTGGGAGCTCTTCTCGCACCTGCTAGCAAAAATTTATAGGTGGCATCGCTGTTCATTCGCACTGCGACGAGGCGTGCTAGCTGTGGGCCGCATTATCCAGGACGGAATAGGACAGGGCCGAACAGCTACCTACATCTATTGTTCAGGTCCACTCGCAGCTCAAGTTGTCCGCCGGGCGTCTGTCGCTAAATGCAACCCGCCAAGTGCCTTTGCTGACGCATAACCCTTGCAGTTCCTGATCCGGTCAGAAGAACATATCGACTGAGTTGTTACCAAAGGAAACATAATGATCTCGCTAAGTATTTTTCGATCCCCCCAGAAAACGGGTCGACGAAGTGTTGATAAACGAAGTATCTCAGTGAAAGAGGAAGTCGCAGGGTTATACAGCAGAATGGGACTACATGTACGCAAGATACACCGAATTGCATAAGCAAGCGTACGTTACGGTGAACGCCAACTCGGCGCAGTGCTCGTGTTTGAATATCTGCCGATAAAGCAATGATCAGCAAAGACAACCAAGGAAGAGTGACGGCTTAAGTAAAGACCACCAAAGTCAATGGCAAAGCTATGTTGGGTCGGCCCTGTCTATGCATCAGCTATTACGGGATTCTCTCGCTAATAAGAGCAAAATGATTGGTGTCGATCCTGTAGGTCAGATAGACGGAATGGATGCTAGGAAAGGCGGTTCGGACTTGTAGGATTGATCATGATTTTTCTCTCCACCGTTGCCATCATTAAGTACTGTTGATAACGAGAATCGGTTGCCAATAAGTATTATCATAGTAATTAACATCGTTAATATAACATTGATCGAAATGCGCTAAACCATAGATAGCCGTGTATTACATAATAATTGGCTTTTTGCTAAGCTATATATTATCTAAGTGTTTGCGCTGAAGAAACATAAGATATACCTGTACAAGACGCGAATGGAGACCTTCGCAAGAAATAGTCTTCGGGTCGTCGTACTCCATTATTATGACGCATCGTGTTGGCAAGGCTCGGTGAAAGTCTTGCGATCTTCGCTATAGGTTTTGTAGATTCCAATACCAGGTATGTGATACTAGACACGACTGTGACCGGCCTTTCCGAGCTTCCGTTAAGGCGCTAGATCTCATCACATGAGCTATTTTCACAATAGAGGATGTATTATGAAGCTACGGTGCCGCAATAGCTCCGTCGGGGGTTGGCATTACCAGTCGGCAAATAGGTCAGTCTCGCTCGAATTTGAAACGCTACCAGTTTTAAGGCACGTTACAGGTTTTCTCATACCGTAGAATGAATGCATCATGGGTCGTAACATTTGATCTAATTAATTTAGGCTTAGGCCATTCTAGTTTAATTGTCGTAAAGAAAAAAGCTTAAAGTATCATTGAAAAAGAAAAAAAATCATCATAGACGTTATGTCTCCCGCAGACATTCTTACCCTTCATTCTTATCACGAGCGCGGCTAAGTTCTAATTGACGGAGTTATACGTCCGCTTTTTTATACGTGTTATGGCGCTCGCCTCGTACACTTATCTCTTTTCTGATTCAGCTTGCTTGCGGTTTTGCCAAGGAAGCACATTCTCAGGTACAGATAAAGCCATTGATCAGCACAGATCAGAACGCGATCGTCAAAATCAGGAAACCGAGAAATGGCAAATAAACTCATAGAAATTACACAGCATTGTCACGGAGACTATGCAGACCGTTGGCAAGAATATAGAAAGAACACCCCGATAAAGGCAGTACAACATACGGGACGACATGGCGATCGGAACGCACACGACTATTGACAACAGGAGCGGTGGCTATGGACAGGGAAGAACGTGTTTATCAAAGCGTTGGAATTCATTGACTGCCTGGTCTATTTGTCAACAGCAGCCCTATTGAAAAAGCTATTTGTGCCTGATAAGGTGATCAGTTAAATTAGGTGCGATAGAGGCAACGGTGGAAGAAGTTCTACGGTGACGACGTTGTCCAATCCGGACAGATCTATCTCAATCATACACAACGCCGTATAATAATGGAGCACCTAAACGACTTTAAGACCGACTAACTGATGTTAAGCTATTTGCCTATAGAAAAGATTCGTTAACATTTATGCGAAATTAGGGAACAAATGTATACATAGACGTACAAGCGTTACTCTCTAACTGTGTCGTCGCTGGCATGTTCTATTAAGATGTAGGAAGAACAGCTGAATTGCTGGTCTTGATAGCATGCAGAAGGTTTGAATACCATGTAAGCAGAAGGGCCTATAGTAAGCCGCAACACCTGGCTCACGTGGCATAGGAGGTAAACCGATCATCTTAGGCTGACTCGCAGATCCTTATAGCTTATTGTGTCCTCCTCCTCCTCCTCCTCCTCCTCCTCCTCCTCCTCCTCATTCTTCGTTTGTTGATGTCAAGCGTTATATACTGCTGAAAACCTATTTCTTTGCTTTTTAAGCAAGCTTCCGTGCTTGTTCTGTTCATGTTGAACGAGTATATCAAATGCGGGGCTTGATATTCGTATACGCTGGCTTTACCACTTAGTTAATTAAAGACTATATTCGATAATTAAAAAAAATAACACTACAATAGGATACGTAGAAACTGATTACGATATCGAAAAAAGCAAGAAAAAAGCCTTTAAAAACGATTACACTACAAAAATGTTATCTCAATGTAAATTAGTGTTAACAAAACAAAATCTGAATCATATTCGGCATCTTCTAGTCGCTCTGCTGCGTCGTATTTACCTATGGGGCAAAGGAGAGCTTGTCCACTAAAGTGTGTCATGTGACAATTAATTAAAGAAAAAACATAGACAAAACGACGGGAGCTTGCGCAGTAACTCAAAGACTAGGAAGACTGAGCGATAATAATAGCTGGGACAGTATAGCCGACCATTTAATATATTCCTGCCGGACAGCGGATGAATCCTGTTAGCACAGTTGAATTTAGCAATCTATGTTGCCCGATTTTAGTAACAACGCAAACATCCTACTGTTGGAACATTTTTGTAAAATCTAAGTCCATAAATGTATTTTCTGGCCAAGCTGGGCTCCAGAAGAGACGCGTTGAAACATAGTCTCGTATGAACTCTCAGACCTTTTAGAAGGCCGCAGTGTTTGGCAGCAGACGAAAAGATCAACGCAGTCTGAAATAGTGCACACCCACTTCTATTTCACATACGCAGCCATGTCTACGAAATGCCCTAATAAATGTTTGGAACAATATTTAGTATTACCCGCCCTCGTGTGTCCACAGGGCTGGAGTCTTATGGAATCTGGGTAAAAACGGATTGTCGGGGTTGTGATGCCTTTCGCTTGCTCATAATGTCACCCCTAAGTGCACAGTGGCGCCGACGAAAGCCGGTGAAAGCGCGGGCCGAACATTGTCAAACGGAAAGATGGAAGGAAAGGCTATACAGTGGAGAAACGCTGAGATAGACACACAGATTAGACACGAGCATAAGGCCGCCCTTACATTTTCTTTTCCACAAATTGCGTACAACCAGCAAGTAAACAGTGCATATATTATTGACTATATATCTTATCATATGTTATTACATCTTAATATATAGACAAGCGTATAATATATAGAAAAAAAAATGAATACTGCCGCAAAGTGTACATAGCCAAGAGCATAGCACGTATCGCAAATCAGATTAGTATGCATATAACGAATAGAGATATATGTGTACACATCATGGGAGGTGTGTAAAAAATATATATATATATATATGGATTACAAGAAATAGGAAAGGCGAAAGGAGGAAAAGAAGGAAAAGGAAAGCGAAAATAATGGCGTGCATGGCAAAACAACCAGGTGATAGACGGTATAGAATAGTGCACAAATCCCCGAGCATCCATCCCTGAGATCCTACCCACTTCACCACGAATGACGGTTTAATAGCCAAGTGGTGATGATAATGGACAATTTCTGGTTTGCCAATAGTACATCAGGATAATAAAACGACCGTATAGAAGCAAAAACCTACGCAGTACTATCGGCGTGTCGGAGTGTCTGTCCACGTATGGGTACCAGTGAAGTCCCACACAGCCCACGAATATGGGTCTGACTACTTGTTTGCAAGGACTTTATCAACGCTGGCTCATCTGCTTGTTAAACATCGGGTCGCCGGATGGCCGCTATTTACTCCGCTGACTAATCTCCTAGCCTGTTAAATGGAATAATCATTATTCCAATGAGTTTGCCATACATAAAGACATGAACAGCAGATGGCGGAGGCGCCAAAACGGTCGGTGGAAAAAAATCAAGCTCCGTCAGTCGTAACCGTTCCATTTAGTACGTACTGAATGTATTTGGTAGCGGCGTACGAGGCTCAGAAAAAAAGCGCTTGCGTTAGATGGGTAAAATCAAGAAGGTAGATATCAGAAAACCGGTAAAGAAGCACAAAGGAATAAATATGTAAAGGATAGAAATCAATTAGAGAGAAAATTGGTCGGTTTTGGTGAGAAAAATGTGGAAAAAAAAAAACAATGCGCACGCATTGATTTTCTTTTGCCCTTTGGCAAACTTCATTGAAAGGTTCACGTAGAAGATTGGAACGCCCGATGGCCAGCTACATCAGTATTGCGGGTGCCTGTCAAAAGCTGTAAACACGTTCATATTGATTTATACATTTGTTACTGTATCTGTTAAACCCGCACGATGCGTGCGCGACGTTTGTGTAACATGTATAAACAAGAAAAAACCAAGAAGTACAGATTTGTAGATGATATACACACAACGCGTTACGCGTCTCTAATTCAATGCCTCGTATAGTATTCAGTTTTTGAAAGCTAACTTACGTTATGCTTAGCGTGCTATAGCGCTTCGGCAACGGTTCAGTTGTACCATTCCAATTACGCTTGCTGTCGTAAAAATTACCTGATATTGAACGTGGTAATAACATAGGTTTGTCCTGCTTCATAATTATGAATTGCAGAGCAGGAAGTATCGTCTGAACAAGCGCGGAGTTATCGTCGGAGGGGAAGGAAGCGAGGATGAGGATCTCAAATCCGAGACAGCCGAAAGTCAAAAAGGTAACTTCACGCTCACATTGAGTAGAATCGAATCGATCAGTAGGTCTAGGAAGGTGATAAACTGGCCTACTTGTAAATAAACACTGATCGTAGGCTGCGCATCAGCAGGTGCCCATCGTCTAACAACATCCTCTAGACAGCGTATTTAAGCCTTCAAGTGTCCCGCTTACACACTCGAATTACAGAAACAGAAAGAAGAGTGATAATGTCTATAATAAGTTATTTTATTCGGTTTGCCATTAGGAATGGTAGCTTACGTTCGTACGGTAGAACGTTAGATTCGTTTCATTAGAATATTGTCTAGAAGCTTAACTTTGTTTTGCTGCCGTTAAATTCCGATAAAAGCTAATCTGATAGCATTATCATATAGATGTATATATATATTTATCAAGTACACGATACCCCACAATAATTAACTTGTAAGTACGCTAGTGACAATATCTGTCGTGTCCCATTGCTAGACAATATTTTGGCACAGGCCTTCATCGTCATTTCAACTAGCCGTCTCATTCTGAGGAGATCAGCTGACGCCCCTCTATGAGGTTTTTCGAAGTAGGCGGCGATTTGCAACGAATTCATTCGCTAAATAGTTTTTTTCATCTTTTCACCCTTGTACCGATGCAAATCGGCGTTAGCTCTCACCTCCGTTTTCAGCTAAAAGGGTTCGCTGCATACCTCCAATCCGCTCACTTCTATGGAGATTTTCTAAGAATTTAGTAACTTAGAGATAATATGCGTACATATGCTTAGTCTATGTACCTATCGGAGCTAGATGACGGAATCGCCTAGCTTTAGAAAAGGCTAAATCATTTCCAATTAACTTTTTATCTTTCTATTCGCAACACACAGGACCGATTCCTCGGAGGTTTTGAATGAAGAGGACTACTTTGGAATAACAGCGTTTGCGGTGTTCAAAAGTTGTAAACTGCTTTTTTGTGGGGCTACATCAACGCAGCGTTAAACGGAATTTGTTTGTCTGAACTAATCTGCTCTATCGAAAAACCAGGATGCTTATTTTACTGGGCACTGCAGACATCTTTTAGAGAATTATGTAGGGGGTGTAGTCTAGGTGGTTCGTGCGCATTTCTTTGAGTGCGTTGTCGTTATAAGCATAAAAATAAGGCAGAAACGATTACGAGGTATTAATCATTAGGAAAACAAGGAAAAAAAAAAAATACATTTCCCAAAATATGTGTACAAATGCCTCGGGTACGGTTCGTTTTTTAACTAGACATTCACCATACGCCACCTCAGTGACCACTCTGAGACGTACTAATTCCGTACTACACAGAATTGGCCGATGACGTGACAATCTGCCACGTCAACAAATTGCACTGGTTTCTCTATCCTTACTCGTCGCATTTGCATAGGATGCGCTGTAGTCGCCTCTATTACACAGCCTTCTTGCAGCCTTTTCGTTCTATCTTGTTTTAGTCCATTTGCCCCTAGGCCTATGTTTATACGTGTTCTTCTTGTACTCTCCTAATCCTCTAGTTTTCTTTCCCTCTTGTCTCCGGCAGTTCTGTTCCTGAAAAGCAAACTTTACGAAGGCCTCTTTTGCTTCGATATGCCGATCTGGCTTGACAGCCAGTTCGACCACATGAACTTTCTCACACATCCATGTTCAATTCATTCGTTGCTCTCATTCAGCTGACCGCTGCTCCTTCCCTGTTTGCTTCGAGGACTGGCGTCTACCTCTCTGGCTGACTGGCACCGTATATATAGAGCGCTTGCATATCGACGTCTCCCTATAGCAATCGCTTTTACCTGCAACGATTGCTTTACTAACATAGAGTCCTAAGGCCTAAGACTCAGCCAACGGTCGTTCCAGCAAAACGGTGCTCGATGGCCTTATCCTGACGCCTTGTGAGGGTACGCTTATCTAGGTCCTCTTTTTTACTGCTACTCTGCTTTGCACGTTTTCGCGTCAGTGGATCCTTCGTTCGTCTGCTGCTTGTATGGTCCGTACATCCTGATTTTGTGAACTTGTGATTCCTCACTGGTGGTAGCCGCTTGATGAACGATGTTAGTTTTCAGCTAGGTCGTTTCTGTCCTATCTGTACTGCGCAGCAGGCACCTAGGTCACTTGCACTAGAACACCAATGCCTATATCCTCCAGATGTCCAAGGCCGTAGGATTTGCATCTAACTCCAACCGTTTGGTTGTTGCTAATGGCTCAGCTCTAAACAGCTACCCTTTGTAGCTTGCATGGAAGCCAAAAATGAAACGAGCTGGTCTATTAAGCTTTGCTACTGTAATCAACAGGACGAGCAGGAATCAACAGTGCAATGACAGGGAATAAGCACGTCAGCAAACGTGCATTCTGCTATTCAACGAAGTTCTCATTTGACTACGTAATTACAGTCTGGTTTGGACTTGCGACAATGAATGAAGCAACGGTATACTCCACCTCTAACATTAGAACCTCGTCGCGAACAGCGTTGGTAGACAGACCGAATCTTATGACGTAGTTCTTCTCTGCGCCGTAATTTCAAAAAGCGACAAAAATCTGTTGCGGTCAAAAAAATGCAATTCAGAGATCAATGGGAGTTATTTGCGTCCCTGTGTCCCCCCGCCCTCAGCACTCCGCTTAGAACCGCTTGTTACGCGAAAATAACCCGTTTTCCGGTAGAAGATTTTCTCTATCAAGAAGCGTCTGCACAATGATGACAAACGCTAAGTGTTAACGGCCGCCTAGTGACAACCTTCTTGGCTAAGCTCTCTTCCGTATCGAACTCCATGTACATACAGGACTGTAGAAAAATATTGTACTATGCATGCATGTCAAATAACTTGCTGTTTTTATTGAGAGAAGGGATGAGAGGGCGAAAAGGACGTGACCTCCATCTGTACCGGAGTGCACCTGCATTAACGGTGTATCAGGATAAAGATCTATGTTTAATGAAACGATTCACACTATTTTTAGCATGTGACACGTGCCAAAGTCTTCTGACTAATAAATGCACAAATCTACCCAGCACAAACATAGTAACGGATGGTGCTAAACGAGGGTCTTTGAGCTGACTGATATCACGCGAAGTCGAAGGTGACTATGGTATCGGTGTGTATGGACTTTTCGTAGGAATCGTTTTTTGAGGTGTTACAACATGAAGTTCTAAAATAGACTGGAAGGAAAAGCAAACGCTTTTCTTTAAAAACCCACGTATCGTCTCGAAATACGTTGCTTCACGCGTAAGCATCTCTAATCGCAGATAAACTTGAAACTGTGTGCCGTGTGAGGTCGTATAATGCTGAATATCGCTGGTCAATTAGGTTCCATAGGGGATAGTGTGGTAATGTGTTAGCCAAGGGGTTTGAAGATGAAGAGATATTATAGTTACTATGGAACTTCTGTAATTCGGCTATTGTTATCCAGAACTTTGTTTTTACGCAAGCGCGAGATGTACAATTACCCCTAGTGTCCTTCCGTTGCGCTAGTGGTTCGTTGTGTTACAGGCGGTGAATAAGCACATTTAATATTTTGCGTAATCAGCTCGGCGCTAGTGTTGATCTTTTGAAAGGTAAAGTTTTTGAACCTCGGCTGTGTTCTCTTAGACTAGGATGTACAGGCCATCGGCAGGCCTCGAAATATATAATAGGCCGGCTTTTTCTCAACGTAGTCGAACCTCTAATCGTATTTGCCTGCAAGAAACAGTGATCTGAAGAAGACTGTTTTATGGGTCAGAAGAAGGTAAAAAAACCGTGTTGCCTTTGGTGTTAATCGACATTGCCAAAGTATAATATATAGCTGTGGATACTTTTGAGTAGGCTTTAACCAAGCGTGTAGCTCCTCGTTCCAATTTAACCCGACGTATGCCTTATTGCGTCTAGAGGACTGAATAGAGGCCCGCTCAGAGTGTGGGCCTCATCAAGCTGCCATAAATGTATTCCATGAACGCTTCATAAAGACTAGCCTACTCCGATTATGCCTTCCGGTACTGGTCAGAACGTTGTTGTAAGCTTGCGAAAGCTCTTAACGCTATTGGGCTCTCTCGATCGGACAACCGGATGTGAAGTCGTTCGTGGTGATAAGACCTCACTTATCATGATACACTTGCTTAGACTTTTGTAACAAGTAAAAGTTTTGAGTGTCATTTTATCAAGTCTAGTAGCTCTTTTGCCTAATGTTCACTATAATGTCGTAAGGTGGCGCGAAAGCTTTCACCGATCCAATTGAGTGGCACAGAGAAGATCAAAAAGCTCACGGAATTGAACGAGAGGCTCTGAAAAGGACACTTGAAATTTTGGAACCCTGTCTTCGACAATGATTTGGTTCATTTAGAGAGAAAAAAAACACTAACCTTTGAGCAGATACTGGATAGCTAAATAGGCAATCTGTCCCTGATGGCATTTTGTAGCCTCGGCTTGATAGCTCACAAGCCTCACAGAACATCTGCAAATCTACGAAAACGTAGAGAATCTTCCATGCTGCAGCATAAAGAAGGAGTATTTCATTTCAGTCTTTTTGAATAAGCGAATCGATTCCGTTCTATAACTATAAGTCGATGCAGTGTTTTACTTTTGAAATCCTCGATGTTTCCGACACGTATTGTTCCCGCGTGGCTATAAAGTAAGAAGAATATTATACGATCAAATTGTTAAGGTCACTATATGACTCTAATCAAGGAGAAACAATGCTACATTGAGATTACATAAGTGTATGTAATACATGCAGTATCAATTTGATTGTTGCTTGCAAACAATGCAATAATTGCCTCACTCAAATATCTGGCCTTTTACATTTTCAAAAGAGGCCTTTTTAGGTCTAATTTTGACTTCATCCGGCTTTAGAAGAGCCACATCGTTCGTAGCTTTGGACTTCGAAAGCCTAAGTTTTTTCTCTTTACTTTGAAAGCATACAAAATTTAGCTACTTCAATGGCGAATTACCTATGTCCTACGATAGCAATATGAACAGTATGTTTCAACTCACAGTATAATTTAGCAGCGATTCCATTTTTCTATCTTCAGCGTCGCTTGAAGTTCCAGCCATCACAATTATCCAGCCGCCGACATCGAACGGCGACGTACAGTCAGGAGATGATCGCGAGCCCGAGGACGAGCTTACCGAGGAGGCAGCGGCATTTGAAAAACATCGGAAAAGCTACATCGAAATATTACGCAATATACGCCGAAAATACCCTGATGCCCTTATGGAGGAAATTGAAGCAATGGCACGAGAAGAGATTCTCAACAAGGGACCCAAATCGCGGGCCTATTACAGGTCAGAACTAGTGTTAAAGAAAACATCATAGTATGAAAGTATGATTTTGTGTCCGTTGAAGGCAATTATCGGGACGTACAAAGTATGTTATTGCGCTCGTAGGTACATTTGCTGTTTTACGCGTAGCCGATCATTTAGTAGGGAAGCGAAAGACCGTTCGAGAAACGCCACTGACTGATTCCGTCGAATACACGTATCTCAAGCATCAAGTTGACACCAAGCATGCTATTATATTTTAAGAAACATTCAATGCGATGACCAAATTCGGGATTCGCAATAAGCGGGTAAGCAATATCTCGGTAACGGTAGTATTGGAATTGTTGACAACGAGCAAGTATCTCATTGAGCATTTAAGTTCCCTTACCTTTTACCAGTTTCTACAATTGGTAAACAATGGCTTCTGAATCCATTATGCAAAACGGGTAGAAAGCGTCGCACAGTTATTCAGCTCGACACAAAAATAAGAGTAAAACTAATTTAAAGTGTCTAACCACTCTCGTGACGCAGACGATTTAGCAAGTAATACTATTAAATGAACATAAGAGCATAAGGTTGAGCTTGCATCTATTTAACAGTTCTATTTTTTCTCCCGCAATACGGGGGAAGGCGGGTGTAGAAATCTACGTTTATTTAGGGCTATGCGCAGAATTTGTACCGTTATTACCTTGATCAGCTTTTTGTATACAGCTCTCAACAAGCAGTGAGTGCCTGCAGGCAGATGAAAAGCAAACGAGACCTCCTGTTTGTTCCGCATTTGTATGTGTGCGAACTTTCCATTTATTCCCAGCTGTCACCAACTCTTTAGCGAAATGTTGCCCCACCAAGTTTATGAATAGACGTACTTAGAGCTAGCCGGTTCGTCAAATTTCCGTAACGCGGTTTTACGCGTCTGGCACGTCACGCATGCATCTGTGATGGCTTGCCGTGACGGCTGAATATTCACTTATATCGAGACAGCCAAATAATTGTCAGCAATCAATAACCCTAGGGAATATAGTATTCTTATGAGAGTTTTGTTAGGTCTGCTAAACTCGAGTTGTTCCCTGGAATCTAGAATTCGAAATGGAGCTGTCAGGTGTTGCTCAGGACGCCGAGGGCGATAATTGGAATACTCCTCTTTCACTGGGACCCGTTAGCGCTAATCCTGTCCTGTAACGCTGATTTTTCGTTTCCATATTCGTTTGACATTCGACCTCTCCGTCTACCTCTGATTCTACCTCGAGAATTACTGCTGTTGTTTGCCTGATTAGTCGTTCCAGCTTGCGCATGTCTGCTTAGTTCGACTCCGGTTCTCAGCGCTCCGACTTCCATCGTCGAGTGCTTGTCGTAGCACGCCTATCTGAAAACAGACTAAGCAGCTTCAGCAGGGGCGTATAACAATTTTGCTACCTTAGAACAAAAATGACAAGGTTTTGCTATACAAATTCTACCACAATCGTTGTTACTTGTCGCTAGCGTTTGTTTATTCCTGTCTGAACATATTTGTATGTTATTACTGGCAATGTTATCCCATTACTGCATGTATTCATTTGTTTAGGCATTAACTTGTTTTCATAATGCCTTTGGAAGATCTTGACGGCCGAACGGTAGGTGAGCACTGGAAGCCCCGTGATGGCAGTTGCTCCAGCGGCGTTGGAAGCAATGTTGGCCAATTTTTCCAAGGACCACAACCCTTGTGGTTACAATGACCATAATCAAATTAGCGAGTTGCCGAACTTTGGTTGCACTACTTGAAATGTTCAGAACTAGCCGCCCTACTTCATAAAACTTTCAAACAATAGCAATTATATTATTTTTAAGACAAGTTACTATTACTGTTTGTATTGCTGGGGATCTAGTTATATTGAACTAGGAGTGCAAGATCTCGATGTGCGCTGGCCTGGCATTTGTAATCTCCCCATTCTTTTACTTAACGTTACGGCTAAAGTCGAGTAATTGCCTTGGCAATAGTATTAACTGATATTCAACTTAGCCTGATACTTACGCCTCGAATATTTCGATTCAGGCAATCCCTTATCCTTAGGTAGGTAAAGCTTGGACGTTCAACTTCTGTTTTGCTCATGTTCGGTCCTACCGTGTCACATGCGCATGATTAACTTCGACTTGCATTCTCTTTAATTTCCAGAATCCAAGCTACGCGTAAGTTGATGGGCGCAGGGCAGTTGATGCGCAGGCGGCCGTCGCGCATGGTCCTTGAGGAGATCCGGGACAGAAAATCACGCGCCTTCTCAAAAGACGAAATAGAGCTCGGTCTTTCAAGGACAGGCCAGGACGAACCGCCTACCATCAAAATCTACTTCGATCCCGGTGAGTCATCTCTCCTTTATTACACCCGAATGTTAAACCAGAAAATATACAAATCCATAAAAATAAAAATCAATCACAAAGATTATTACTGTGGGTCGACATTTATTTAGAACACCTTTAGGTGCATTAATAACGGTAACCCTAAGATGTTTTCTTTTAATTTGAAATTGCCACTAGAAATCAACTGGTTCTAAAAACTCTGCGAGGCATAATATACTTCAAAAATAAAATTGCTCTATTAATTCACTGATATTATCCCCAGTGATTATCTTGTTTTCGTTATGGATAAAATAAACTTTACATGTCTTCGAGAGCATCATGGAATATTTGAGTTTCTGAATCCTGTTCAAACGTGTTGAAATCATTATTCCCAGAACGACTGTAATTATTTTTTTATATTTATTATTGTAATACTATAATCACAAAGTTATTTTTTTATAATCCATTTTATAGTCTTACAATCGCCTAAAGCGTTTGTAGTACGTCGGTAGGTTCCTCAGTGTTAAGAAAATTAAAGAGATACCAGCTGTTATTAGTACTAATTTACCTATAGCCTAACCCTCTCCCCCCCCCCCCTCCATATTTGGCACACATTTATTGAAACTTAACATCACAAGTTTATCATTCTCATAAACATCTATCTATAGCTATTTTAGCAGAAAAGGTGCCGCCCGTCGTTTTTTATTGGCTTCAGGTATTTCACTGTTATTTCTCCACGAGCATGCTTTTCATATGAATAGTTGCAAAAGGAAAAGCTGGGCCTGACCATTTAACTCAATCACATTTTGTACAGCAAATCCTTGATCATTGTACCTAGCATCAGGTCTATGTCCGCCTAAAGCGTACCGTAAGATTAGTATTGAAAATTCGGATTCGATAGGACTATCTTTATGTATATATGAAATCAGTCTTCTACATCGGCTCGTTGTTCTTCAACATTATATCCTTCTGGAAGCTCGGTATATGTTATCAGCAGGGTCGAACGAATTCTGAAGTTTTTGTCTGTCTGCCCTTTGGAACTCCGAGCGCAGTTAGGAACGCAACTTGAATAAGCGCTGAGATTTTAAAGGCATAAGTAGCGCAATCATACATAGTAGATAAATGCGTTAGCGTTGCTTCATCAATGGACCTTTCAGTAAAATCAGCTAATACATATATTCTATATTAAGATTAAATGACTAATTAATAATATACTTATTTTCATTAGAAGTAAGGTTGTCGAACCACTTCTGACGACACAATATTATACAATCCCTCATATGTAGAAATAACACTATATTGACTATGGAATAACCTGCATGTATAAGAACGAACACGTGGATGCTTTCTCGAGTCCCACGAGTAACATTGTAGGTCGATCTGTCATTGTTACCATAACAAAGCCATATAGCCCTTCACAGTGCGCAAGCGGTTTGAAGATAAATGATGAAGAACGTTTATCGTCTACCTATAAAGGCATCAAAGCCATCACTCTGACTATGGCCATGGTAGTTCTCCTGGAAAAATAGTCTAAAGCTAACGATGAAATAGATGTAGATTTTCAATAGACAAATTCAGCTAATTGCTTTCCATCGGCTCCTAGCTGCTGGAGTTTTCTATTGATGGCATCGCTATGTCTATGGCACATGATTCGAGACAAACGCTTTTGCGCTGTTTTCTATTGATGGCATCGCTATGTCTATGGCACATGATTCGAGACAAACGCTTTTGCGCTGTTTTCTGGGCCTATTTCGGAATGGGGTTATCGTAGCCAGATGATTTTCTTTCAGCCTTAAGAGCTAGAAATTAAAATTTAGGAATCGGCCATAAAAACCATAGAGCATTAGATCGGCGATACTACAGAGGACCGACAATTATAGACTGATAGAATTCTCGCGATGTACGCTAGTTTCGTCGCTTCGTGGGTAAGCATCGAATAGAGCGCGCCATTGATCTTCTTCCTCGCATAAAATGAAGCGTAAGATAACCTTCGTTGGTATCTCGTAAAATCTACGGCACTTGACATTCGACGCCCGTTTACGAGCTCATTTTGACGTGAATGAGTGTGTTTCAGCGTTCTTTTAATAACTCATCGGGGTTAGAGCAAATATTACGGCATCTTGAAGATGGCGAACCATTCAAGCGGTGGGCATATGCGAGGACAGAGCCAACTTAATAATTACAGATACATAAACCTTGCATGAGTCCGACAGAACATTAAAATATTGTGTAAGGATACGGGCACTTTCCATCTAGCGCTTACTCAAAGCTGAACCCGAAAGGGGTTTAACTAGAAAAGTATTCACACACTACCGGAATCCAGTAAATGACATTGTTGTGTAATCTCGAGTCTTCCTAATGAGTCATTGTCTATCAATTTAAAAATACACTATTACGCTAATTTAACTTATAAACAAGAAGAAAAACGAAAAATCTATAAAAATATCACTGATTTTTTTTATAAATAGCGAACACCTCTAACGGCTAACTCGAGCCTTCTTGAGGTCGGCCGCCGTTCCTAGTACCGTTGCTCATGTGGTCAAGATTATTCGAATAACCTGATTTTACATTCCTCGACCCTATATCACCTATCATTAACTCAATATATTGTTGAATCTACAATAATGCTCTATAATAATTATAAACTCGCCAAAAAAAAACTCAAAACGTTTATCAGGCTCTTAATGACGACTATATTCGGTCACTTGTTATAGTATACATTTATTTAATATAATTTTAATTTTCTAATTAAAATAGTAAGGATTCTTTTGCTGCCTTTCATTTGCTAGGGCTAAATGCAAAGATTACTATGCAAAATAATTATTTTACTTATAGGTTCGATACCTGTTTAATTGTTTAATACGTATTTACAAAAATTATTGTCATACAAAGAAGTGTTCAATCATAAATTCATAAATTTTAAAGCAAAAGGTAATCAGTTAAAAGAAAGAACCTTTTTAATAAGCGATCACTATTCACTATATTTTTCGCTAAACATTGAACCGACAAGAGTATTTATTTAAAATAGATAAGAAAATTTATAAATATCGCCTTTAGGACAAAAATAATCCAGTACAGACCAAGGTGGTGCCGATTCCAGGATAAACTACGCCCTATACAAAGGCCAAGCTCTCGCACAGACAGATATGATAAATTGGTTGCCGTTGCATTTGCATTCAGCTTTTTTTGCTTAGAAATGAGTAGTCGTTTCGAACTGAGCAGTACACCGAAAAAAAAAAGTAGATAGCCCTAATTCGAAACTTTAAATTCTTCGCTTGTTTGCCAAGCGGTCAAAAATATAGTCATCTCATTACGTGGCACGGTGATTTATCTTCGGCACGCGGCCACAAGTTTTTAAACTTGTCATCGATCATTTCAAACTTGTTGCAAGCAACACTTTCGAACTGTATCACCGATTTTACGTAAACATTTTTGTCGGCTGATTTTTTTCACAAAACTGTGCTGTGAAAACAATGGCTACTCTGAAAGGTACGCTTTCTTTTTCCAGAATATGCTTGCCCTGGTCTCTGTCACAGCTACTGGCACCGGCAGGTTCACGAGCTGAGAAGTTACCCGAAAGCCTATACTTAATGTAGTCGTTTTACATTTTGAACAAGTATAGATGTCCCATTTTGACTTACCTTGTATATTCATATGACATAGAACTGTTCACATGGGGTACAGGCCTAACATATGCTTACCTATCTAGACAGACTAGTAAAATGCCAAACTTAATACAAATACTAAATCAGGTTACATTTCTGTGAATCAGGCCACATCACCTGTATGGAGTCATGCGGTGAACTTCAGGCTGTCGTCATGCGAGACGCAGCCAACGTTGATTCAACAGTATGTGTCGACTACAAAACGGAGGACGGCACCGCGTGTGCAGGAACCGATTATGAACATGTGGAGGGCACGCTTATCTTCCGGCCCGGTGAGCGCGAAAAGATCATTTCCATAACGATCATCGACGATGAGGTCTTCGAGGAGGATGAGCATTTTTACATCAGGTAGGCCATCTATTGATACGCGAACAAGGACGTCGCAGTTTACAAACGGGTCCTTATGATGTATAAAGGTTGAAGGATCATTTAAAAATTACATCAAGAGTAAAGCGTTTTGGTTGTTCAACTACAGATAATGTTATATTTATTTCGAAATGAATCAGCTTGTTGACAATCTTCATGATGGTTTTCGAGGACAACGTTTGATGATCGTGAGGAATTTTTCAGTGTTTGCGTATAATAGTTTCACGCGGGCTGGTTACATTATGATATAGTTTTTGTATGGTCAATATATCTTAGGCGGATTTCAACAATTGGATCCGAGGTACCTTCACGTAGACCGGTCAAGAATAGCTGAATCAATGCTTGTATAATTACCGGCCATAATGATTCAGTTGATATCGTCGTTTTCACAAGGGATCAGATTGGGAACAATGTTGATGCCGTAAAGTAGATTGATTCGACTGATATGATAGATATCGCATGAATACTAAATTTACTAAGAAACCCGCTACACCTGTTGTGATCTTTTTTTTATCATACACCGCTCACTCTACGGAACTCTCTGGATTGAAAGCTTTAGCTGACGACACCGTTGAGGAGAAATTTGCTCTTTTGTTTACTTTATCCGCTGTTGCTCTGGTCAAGCTACTTGGTTTTTTTTGCAGTCAACGAATATTTACAATATCCTGTGTCCACATTTACCGTTAGTTCCGTCCAACCTGGGGTATCGTTCGCCGTAGAATTGGCAACGGGTCTTTTTCAGGGATTATGAATTGGTTCGGCCTGTCGCTTCTTATCAAAACAACGCTTCTATCTATTTATCTATCGTAGGACTGCGTAATAGACGCACACAGTATGGGCCGAATTCCTACTTTCAGTGGCGTGTACTCGAAATGATCCTATTTAGCCCAAATTCTCTCAAGAACTAGCTGAGCACCTGGTCGTTCCTCTCTTCTATAGTTGACATCGACCCATTTTTTAAAATTAGGCTTCGAACGCTCAATATCTTGGCCACCGCTATCTTGATTAGTAGTATCTAGCAGCCATCATACTTTAGCCGTCTGCCTTGAATACAACTGTCAAATCGGACTCTTTCTACTTTAGGACGACTGTTGCAAAGATAAACGAACACGTATACAAAGTCTTTGGGGCTTTGTGTTTTCAAAGGATCTACAATTCGTTACGTGCAGCACGTACGTACATACGTGCAGGAACACAAAGAAACGTCGACTCGAAAACAACAAATGAAAGAAGTCCACGCTGCGGGCTCATCCAGTCACCCAAAAAGCTGACTAACCGTGGAAATTTAAACTACTAAAATTTCGTATCCAGAATCTATTCCGAGACGGCATAGTTGTGTTCAAAGTTTCTCACGTTTCCTAGGAGGAGTCAGGGGGAAAATATTAAAAAAATGACTGTGGAAGGCTGCGGGATTTCTCGCTTGAAGTATTCCTACTCGAGAACATGACACAGCTGTAAATGGGACTAAAGAATAGGACGTTCTGAAATTTTGACGGGTTTATCTAATGTATAGTATGAAAGGCCAATTTTGTCAGCGAAAAGAATGTGCGTTAGAACACGTCTCAGAATTTTTAAGTTTCTGAAAAACAGCTTAACAACTCTAACTAAATTAAGAATTTAGTTGTACAAATTAACATAAATATACACCAACACGTCTATTATAGCGAAGCGTGTCAAAGTCAAAGGCAATTCTATATGTGTCCGGCCAAATTAAAAAGGTCACTAGCCGCAACATTCAAAAAGGGAGACTGCTGCTTCAGGCCCATAATACGACTTTATCGAAATGAGTTGTCTAATCAAGAAGGTGCTCTGGACCGGATAGAAAACCAGTCCCGATACTCGCACTCTTAGCACCCGTTTTTGCTTCGATTTGTTTGAACAACGTGAAACTAACAGCTGCAGCTATATAAAAAAGTTTTAAGACGAGCCTGGTGATTACCACGTTTGTGTGCATATATTTTACTAGTCTCCAGGTTTTTTTCTTCGTAAAAACTAAAGGGGCATCAGTATAGTCATAGCACTGCCTCAATTTCGTGGCACGTTTTTATCACTGGAGTAGGCTATGTTCATTGAACTCACAGATATGACTTATTTAGTAAGTTTCTCTAGTTATTTACATATACTCTATATTGGCCGCCAATGTTGTCCCTATGACGACAAACGGCTAAATAAGTGGACGACTTATGTTCCGACAAAACTTGCGAAACACACATGACAATTCGAACATGCTGCCTACCATCAACGTGTGACTCGTTACTCATTTCAGCCTTTGCAAATTATAAAGTCCTATTTCCTTGTCCACAAAAGGACTGCTTCCACTGTGCATGTACGCGATTTTGCGTTTCTCACTCTTCTCGTGTGCAACAAAAGCATTATCCTCCATAGGCTTTCTTTCCTTTATAGTCCAATTTCGGCTTTGTACCTTTCGAATTTTTCCAATTTTTTTTCGCTCCGGAATGTGTTCGGTCATAAAAACGGATCCGGAATTTCTCAAGGGGCATTCATACGTATGTCCATCTCAGATTCGTGTTTGCTTTGCGGTGAAGCCGCTGGCGAAAGAGCCCTCTACTTTATTTTCAGACCGCTTCGTTATCAGAGCTTCTATTCTGGTTTGATGTTCAGTATCCATGATTGGATTACCGCTATCGTCCGCAACGAGTTGTGACCATTTACGACCGCTTTGCCTGTTGAACGTAGGCCTACTTTTGCTAGACTTCTTGGGAACATGCTGTCGAGCTGCTTCTTGGGTATTGGTTGGTGGTTGCTGCCTTATCTTCTATTTAAATCGTTCTTCCCACCCTCTTCGTTTGGCTTTAGTCGGTTGTTTTCCAGGTTGTAGCAATGCGGTACTAAAACAACACTTCCCAGACCATTTCAGCGGACCTTGGTCTGTTCTTTCCCAACCGAAGATCTGTCTCTTTTCTAATCATGTTTTGGTTTCTCTGAGTCTTCTCCTCTATGCCCGCCTCTAGCACAGGCTGCATTCGGCTGCTTTCTCTGATGTGAAGCATTGCTTTTTCTAGTCCGTACTCCTTGCTGGGGCGCTGGCTCTTTTCCCGCAGGCCATCGATTCGTAAACATTTTTGAAGCCTTGAACTAAACCACACGGCAAAAACCAGTAGCCACGTGGAATGAGCGGCAGCTCAGACGTGTCAGAGACGTATTGCTACCGCTGCCATTACATTATCCATAGCCGCGTGGTCGGCTGTGGTCTCGTGGGGAACATCCTTCCATTCCGCAACTGTGAAAAGTAGAAGAGCGTACCTACCCAGGCAACTCTTGTCGTATTTTTTGTGCCAGCTATCGTTCGCTGCCTGGTCCTTCTCTGCACAAATGCTTCTTTTTTTTCTCTCGTTCTTTCTCTAAGCTTACGTGTTTTTTATTCCGACATTTTTCCAAAAGGACCAACCTCGTAAATAGAGCGCTGTACACTAGTAATGGCAACAGCACTAAAGTCAGCCAGCCAGCCGTCAACTTCTACGGTCTACTCGTTTTAGCACTTATGACAGAAGTGGCCGCACTGCCACGCAGTGTTGGCTATTCTTACCGTCTGACTATCATCAACTGTGGCTAGATACGATTAAGCTGCATATTGCCGATAGGATGGCGCTCATTACAGGGTAGTGGCGTTGCTATGCAGCCATGACGGAATGTTCCACGTTACGCCGGCTTCGACGGATGGAAAGTGACTAACATACTCTACCCTAGGACAATATAACAGTACCAGACTCACTGACATTTATTATTGACTATGGCCGCAAGCTGCGATAGCTGCGGCGGGATAGGAGAAGTGACCGCGTGGGAACGGAATACCGCTTGCAAGCTGGACATCTGAATGGGTATGTGACCGAATTCAATTGTGGTTTATCGTATCAAAGCGTATCCCTCTTTGGTAGATTCCCTTCGCACTGCATAGCGGGTGTCCTCGACTTTTCGTCTTTTCGGTAAATTCACTAGGGGTCTTTTGGCACGTCGACCCGCTAAACTCCATAAAGGGCATCTTGCTGTAGCGTATTACAATGTGGATGAAAAAAGCAGGCGGAAAGCGGTCGTAACCGCCCGCACTGGCGTCGCCATTCAGACATACAACGACGGGGCAAAAACGGATCCTTAAAACAACATCATAGTTGTTGAGCTATTGTTCAGTCTGCCTTTTCATACTCAATTTGAGCTGTTGCGTCAAAAATGTTAGAAAATCAACAGCTGAAAATAGACAGAAGGCTTGTTAGGTAAAATTTTACATGCACTGCATATAAGATAAAACATGTACAAAAATAAGCAGAATTAAACAAAAGAAGATTGTTAATAACAAATGAACTTATCTGCATCGTTGAACGATTCCCGTACCGACATGGCTAATGGATGTTTTTTTCATTATTAATCTTTATTTGTTTTATTTTCGATCACGTCTAGCTTGCAAAGGTAATAGTGGGCCAGTGTTACACATAATACGTTGTTCCGTGCTTATTACACAAACAGGCGGTGTGGTGTGTACATATATGCGCTCAATGAAGACTTTCTTTAGCACTCTCATAGACAGTTATATGCCTTAAAGTTATCATAATAATAATTACCATTATTATGGGTCTAAGTATTAAATGTATTGGTTTACACTTCCACAGGTAGCTTTCCTGAAGATAGCCATACTAACAATAACTCTCTTACAACCTTCATGTCGTACGCTTATGGCATCTACTGTACCCACTGGGGCGCGTAGTATCACCCCCGTGACCCGCGGTGCTTCTACGGTTTGAATTCCTCGGACGAGTCGACAGGTGGAACCTTGATCTGAATTAGCTCGCTTAAGTACCGTATTGAAAGTTTTTTTTGCTGTTCATCAATTAAATCTTTCAGTAATATCTCGTCATAGCAACAACAGTGACAATGACGACGTTACAAGCTGACAATATACATATAACATCTTTGATGCTCGTCGTCGAGTGATGTTTTTATGGGCAAGATTCACAGCTTTCGTATTCTATACGCAACGACTGACTTGAAGCAGCGGGTCCCAAACACGGTAAATCCGTGTTTGGTCGGAATTTTAGCAATATACTGATAACTAAGTGACAAAACTTTTGTTCCTTAGAATGGAAAACAAGCATGCGCTAATACATTGATGGGTGAAGATCATAAAACTGAAAATTATCTCCTTATAAAAATCTATCGCTAGCATTTAGTCGTAAGTTCATAAGTTATAAACAACTTTGCTGAAGTGCCACATGATTTACGATATTCAATTTATAAGTAAATAGCTCATGGTCTCGCCGGTAATTTCCGGTTTGAGATAAAAGAGTCGGTAGACGTTTTAGCTTTCTAGCTAAGTTACCTTTTTTAAGTCACCTACCTTTGGAATTGATAATGAGAGACTTGAATCTAATTTTCATTCTTTCTATAGACCACTGTATTCATCACTACTACCTGTTCTACAACTTTTTAGATTATTTTTGCAACAGAATCATCATTTGGCTCTTTGTCAGAGTCGCTGTTATAACTGGAAGTTTTTAAGATAACCAGTGTTTTCCTATCATTAACGCGTTTTGTTTTTCTTTTGTCTTGAATTTAAGATAAAGCTAAACTTCCTGATTAACTTGTTTACAGATCAGATGGGTGCAGCGAAATTTCTCTATCCTTTACATGTGTAATGCCCATTATAATAATAATATAAAAATGATCATCTCTCTCCCTTTCTGCTTTTGCACAGATTATCAAATCCGCGCTACAGCCAGGACCCGCATGAAGATGATTGGCCTGTGGTTCTAGAAACTCCATCCATATGCACGGTTATGATTCTGGATGATGACCACTGCGGATACTTCACCCTAGCTGAGACCGACGTCTCAATCAGTGAAGCTATCGGCGAATACAAAATGATAGTTAATCGAAACTCAGGGGCTCGCGGTCGTGTTCTGCTGCCTTACAAGACGGTCGCTGACACGGCCAAACCTGGCACGCAGTATGAGCATACTGAAGGAACGCTCATCTTTGAGGACAACGAAATCACGTAAGTTTCATTTCCTTTTTTTTTTGCTACCTCATTTCACGCACGCTAACAGTTCAACGGCAACCGAATACAGTTAGGTGGAATTAGTGAGGTTACTATCAGGTCTAATAAAAGAAACGAATTCATCATAGAAAAACGAATTTCTAACAACTATACACATAATACGCGCGCAAGCAAAAAAAAAAAAAGGCAAAATGATTTATTACTAATACATGCCCGTCGAAGAGATGATACACCGATAATCCTTATAGAGCTCGAAACGCAAGTTTGGGATGACTTAAAATCGGATCACTGTTATAATCTGAGTGATTGTTTTAAAATTAGCAGGTGAATCTTAGTGCCTAACATTTCCGAATGTTAAAGAGAGAAAAAAAAAAAGAAAGGCCTGCAGCGTATTATCCTTATATTCAGTATTACTCTTCTAACAATGCAGCAAAGTGTCCCATCCAGGGAAAAACATGGAATCTTAGCCACAGTACCTTTTGTGTATGGCCCCTATGAATGCCTATGACTAGTGCTGACCGATCTGAACAAAGTTATCTAGAATACCAGGCTGTCCTCATAATTCCATTAACGGTCCGAATACAGCAAGACCGATCTTGGCATACGAAGAACAAACGACAAAGCGTTGACCGTGACAAGACATCATGCAGATAGATACACTAATAGACTCGAGGTTTTCGGTGACTCGCAATATAATGTCTTCTTTGCAGGAAAACCATCACAGTTGCAATTATCGATGAGGAACGCTACGAAAAGAACCTTTGTTTCAGTCTACAGCTAGGAGAACCCAAGACCGAACAACGTAAGTTACCGACCCAGCCTCGAGTTATATGCACCATTGCAAACGTTAGCTAGCGATGTGCTAGCAAATCGTATTGACACAATCGTTCACGTTTCAGCTCACAACGATGTCGGTATATCTTTTTATTAGGCAGGCAAACAAAAAAGATTAAATATTTCCAAAGTAACCAGCAGCGAATAATAAAGGGCTCACAGTTTTTAGAAGATCCGCAATGCTCGACGATAGAACCCATGAGATGCTACCACCATAGGTATTAACTACGTTCGTATATAATCATTGTGTCATTGGTCACAGTCACTTTTTATATTGGCGGTCGCTGGCTAAGGGGTACCTAAATATTCGCTTAAATCTGTACGCCACAGGTGCAAATGCTTTTGGAACTCAAAAAAAAATGCCTTAGGCTAGACTCCTTATAGTTATGAGACAGCGTTTACCCAACGGGTATCATACGCAACAAATCTTTCTCTACCGTACAGTCTTTTATTTAGGGCTATTTACAGTACGTTCTCCTCTTTCTCTTGTTAATTAATTTGACCGCGCTCGACGCTGCTAAAAAACGTCTAGCCTAGACTAGGGGTCGTGTATGTAAAGGCGTCACCCTACGGCGCACGCTATAGCCCATACGTTCAGCTTTTTGTCTCAACTTTCGTTAGACTCCATTGTAGTCTCAACACTTCCTTGTATATGCTTGTGCTAGTGCATCTTATCAGGTACCAGGCTTTACGTAGTAGTTTCTGCTACAGACAAGGAGTGGCGATCCATTTTGTCAAACAATGCCACAATGAACAAAGAGCGAGTTTCGATTTCCCTTAGCGTTAACTGAAGAGCGAGATATCGATATATGAATGGCCTTAAAATGTCGACGATTACGATTTCCGACTTAGAGTTACGTACAGCTGCAATAAGTTAAGTAGGATTAATGCGATAAGTTAAGCAAGGCAGCGTCTACTTGATGCTCTTGTAACTTGGACAAGCGGTGCCTGTATCGTATACGCTTGCTGGCGTCACCAGCTGCTTTCGTACGGTCATGTCTTTGCCCTACTGCCGTTTGCCTTTAAAACTCTCCTAGAGTGACTTGTGAACAGGAACAAGAGCCCTTGTACGCGTTGAGCGAGCCTTTTCGCAAACACTTTCGTTCCATTTTCGAGTCTCGTTTGTTACTACTTTCAAATACACATTTGTTTTTACATATGTGATTTTTTTACGTCTTGTGGTAGCTTCTAAAAGACAGGAACTTAGACTTGTTATGGTTAGCGGTTGTGTCCTAGAGCGTTTCTATAGAGAAATATTCCTTCTGGTACATATTCATAAAATGCATTTATTATAATCGGGACCTGCAATGTATAAATTTCAACTTCTGTTATGGCGTTATATTATAGTATTATTTTGTCTCTGTTTTGTATTGGCTTTTCCTCGCCGTTGTTCCGTCGCAGAAATTCTGGAGAAGTCGGAAGAAAAAAGTGCTGAACACGAGCTATCCAAAGAGGAACAGATAGCACTACAAGGACTGCCTAAGCTTGGGGAGGCTATCAACTGCGTAATACACATTCGTGAAAGCAAGGAGTTTAAGGTATGTTCTACTCGTCAATCATAGTAAAGTTCCGACCTTATGAATCCATATCTGCTGTTTTTTATGCCCTTCAGAATAAATGTGCGTAACTTATAAATCGCAATAACGGTAGTAGTTCATAGCAGAAGCAATAGTTCGTAAATCTTGAAGCATCGTTCCTCTAGGCTCTCTTTTGAAAAAAACTAGATCCATTTTTATATACCCATATTCGTATACATATATGGGTGATTTTGTGTATGTGATTGCTGCTACGGTAACAATTCAAATCACAATCATAAATAAGATTGAAAAGCAGTGCTATGAATTGACGTTAATTTGCTTCTCGTGGGCAGAGATGGTACTTTTGTGGTACATATTTTGTGGTACATATTGTGTTGTACGCAATAAGGTCACAGTCGTCACGAAACACGGTACATAAATTCGCGAATAGTTCTGTTAGGTTTTACCTGGTGATTAACTAAAGCTATTTCATAGAAAAAAATCGCCAGCTTTCAAAACATTCCGTCTAATGTACGTTCTTAGTTATTTTCTCGCATTGCATATTAAGCTTAAGATAAAGAGCTGCGACACGACTCACGCTCCTCGTGGTTCCAATCAATTACTTGGTTGAATTTAGATAATTCTACCTAACAAAACTTAAATTAATAATTAAGTTGATTTCCCCTAGGTTAAATACAGGACAACTCTATATGCCACGCATGGTTTCTATTTACACGATGCAAGCTTTTCCTTATTCACCGAATTTAGCTATGTGAGCTCAATCAGCATTTGTGTCCGAAGACAGCACCCATAGCACTCTAGGGAGAACGTATAGAAGAAGCTGTTTCAGAAAGTTCCCATGGCTGCTCTTACAGAAGAACTTCGCAAATTTGATCATAAGTTACGCTCAAGTTTAATGCTTGGCTACATCTACAACAATTTAACACAGAGATGACATAGCTGTTTGGACAGGCCTTGCAGACTGGATCAGCCTTATCGTTTTATGGCGGATCGTAACTTATTAGTTACACATCATTGAACGTTATCAAACCACTATCAACATTGAAGTTTACAGATAGCCTTAAACCTAAATTATATATGAATTAAATATTTCGGCCAGTTTACGCGATTAGGTATCAGCGGTTAGCTAAATTTAAAAGGGTTGATGCAATAACAAATGATACACAAATAAAACTAATCAACACGTAATTTTCGTACAATAAATTTTATTTCATAGATTGTTATTCCAATTCGCCTCCCAATCAATAAATAATTGTTCTACAATGAGCTAGAGTTAGCCCAAGGCGTGATGTTTTTTAAGGTTTAAGCTAAGATGAAGGCTTAAGCCGAAGGCTTAAAGGTCTGCTTGTACCCCATATCCGATCTAAACATTGCGATAATAGGTACGTACGTGCCCATAGGTAAAATGCTGCGTCTATCTAAGTATTTATCACAGTCCAGATTTTGAGTTTAATGGCTTAGATCTGTGAAAATGATACGTTACCTAATGCGAAATTTTTTTGAGCACCAGAACCGTGTTATTTTGTATGAAGGACTGCTAGTTAAGCCCGATCATCTTTAAGGCTTCAAAACAGAGCCAAGCGCATTTTAAGAACTGACTCATATTCGAGCTATTCGTTAAGAGATTCTCCTTATTGATTTTTTTTTTTCGTATTTTAAGCGATATATCGTTTAAAGTGGTAGACGTTTTTAATGGTACAAATGAGTTTTAATATTTTCCTGTTGTCCAAAAAGTTCTTTCCATCTGTTGTTACTGCATTTACAAGTTGTTTTGTATCTAGGTTCTTGCCATTTGCCTTCATGCAGTCGTCGTCCTATAATTGTTGCCGTTGCTTTTATCGTGCTTTTGTACACAGCACACTGCCCAGTCACAATTCGACCTTGCCTTGAATGTCTTATTGAGGCAGACCTCCAAAGCATGCGATTAACCCTGACAAGCCTCGCGACGCTACTAAAAGGATAGTGTTCGAAACTTTGTTCGGTGTCCATAACTACTGTGCTTCGCGTTGCACGCTGAACATACTGCACGTAGTGCCCTCCATCTATCTCTTTCATTTGTGCTTTGTACTGTAATCACTTTGTTTCAGCTGATTGAATAGGCAGCATATGTGTTACTGTGTAAGAATGAAGCTCCCGACGCAGAGCTTTTGCCTAACGGAGTTTGATACGCGTACCGGCTAGGAGCGCTCGTTGCCGCTCTGATGTTGTTACCGTGTATGCGGTTCGTTAGTGCATTGTGTTCTAAATCAAGTTACTAAGTTAAATATCGCAGTTAGGCTAAGCGCTTGGTGTTTACTTAAACTAAGGACGACTTCAATCAATACGGTTCACGTTGTAGAAGACAGCACGGTATATTTTTCCGTTCCTACTCTAGTTATAGAGATATCAATGTCAGGTATTCTAGCCGAGGTGGACTTAAAAGAGGTGCCGGCCGATTTTCGAGAAGCTGTTCCGACACGAGCATTGAGTAACGAATCTAGCTGACGATGTCATTAATTATAGGCTCATGTATTTAGTCACGTACATCACGCTAAAGTCACATCAGAGTTCGGTTCTAGACAAAGGCTCCTATAAACAAAGGTTCTACGCTCCGATAAAAAGAGACAATTTCAGCTTTACTTGTAGCTAGTTGTCTAACATTTGGGTTACTCCTCTGACTGTTCATCTATTGAGATTCTGCCTCAGAGGGGCGGGACTTACAGCCTAACAGGTGCGATAGGTTTAAAGAGAGCAAGCACCCGGTCACGTAGATAATTTGACCCGCCCTGACCTACTTAGCTTTGTTAATCAGTTGAAGGCCAACGAAGTGTTACCTTCTAAATTTTAGGTACATATTATCAGCGGTTTTGCAGCCGACGGAACTTCAAAGATTGATCTAAGTATATTGAAAATCAAAAGCGACACGTCTTCTGAAGTGCTGATGAACACGCTACCTACAAAACGACTTTTGAATATGTCTTAATAGTGAATCCTTGTTCCACTGTATTCTCCCAACCGATATTTGATTAACGGCTATTCTATAGCTGGTCTTGTTTGCCCAAATCCGCAAAGCGAGTATGCTAGGACTCAACTAAGTCAGCAATGTATTTTCGTTTATTAACAAATGCTCAAAAAGTACGGTGTTGTCTAGGCGATACATATGGAGATTTCTAAGTTTAGATATTTTAGACTTGATTGAGGCACATAACGACAATATTACTGTGATAGAGCACGTACAGGGATATCACACAAGATTTCCATTTTCCATGAAATCTATGTGTGCATACATACATATTCTATCGTGAAAACAGACGTGATGTGCGTGTAAACCTTTTTTCACATATTTTTTTTTTTATTTCCACATAAATACGAGTTAAGGACCAAATGAAGTTTGCACCTATTCATGAATAGGTCAACATAAACTCTGGCATTTTATTTTGTAGCTCAAAATGTCCTCAAGGTTTTTACGGGGCAATGGATACTAAAGGGTATTCGTTTAGTCGGTGAAGCCGAGCCATGACCGTGATACACTTATATAACAAGTACGCTTCTAGACCTTTTATCTATAATAAAAGAAAGGCTCGAGTTGTGTCAAAGAGCGCACTTATTGTAGCAGTCAGTGTTGGTTGTCCTAGTTGGGTAGACACCTCTTCTTTGAAGAGCGGAGCCTTCTAAAATTGTATAGCTAGAGCCAACAAGCTGTTAGTCTCGCCTAAGAATTCAACGGACGCGAAAACCATGCGCATGCGAAACCTGCAAGGCTCTCGCCATGTAGGTCCCTGCACACATTGACCATCCCACGTAGTGCGGGCTTTTCCCCGTCAGACATGACTTTTCCTTAAAGCGTCTATTGGCCTTATCCTCTGGGCCTCTTAAACGCTCTTACAGAATGGTCTATTTAGCTGCGATCAAGCGGGCGGAAGCTTTGCCAGACCTAGAGAAGCCTGTTTATCGAGCCTGTGTAGAGGTAAACACGTCAAAACCAGCCTGAATGAACTGTCCCTTCATGGAGTAGAAGAACCAATCGTACATAAGCATTTTTAATAGATCATAAAATTTGCATCACTATAGACATGTTTGTATTGTATTACGGTATGATATGTATAAAATATCGTACCGTAATACAATGCTCTATTCCATACTGGACATGTTAGGCGAGCTGATACGTTTATCAACATTTAGCCTCCTCAGTAAAGGTTAATGGTGACGGACGTGTAGATTGACAAATGCAATTTCAAAGTTTTCAGTAAAGTCAACAACACGGCCGTTTATCACGATGCTTAGATGTCCTTTGGAGGCTCTTCGAAGTATGCCGGTGATGATTTCTAAACTGATGTACTGCTTTTTCAGAGGTAGACTGTTGTGAGTCTTTTAATTACGCTACACTTTAGAGTCAGTTAAAATGAAATCGTGGTCAAAAATTTTCCTGCCACATATTAGAAGTGACAACTAAATGTTCAGACAATGCCTACATGATCTACGATACTCTGCAAACGTCTATGGTGAGCGGCTCGAACCGGTAAGGGGCCACATTTTCGATACGTAGCGATCTTCGGTTGATACATTCTTACTAACTTTAGAGCCCGTTTTTAGATCTGAGCGGCTAAGCTTTTCACTCAGTATCCAAGGGTAACCCACACTCGTTTTGTATCCTCATAAAGTGACTATCCATATTTGATCTTGGTTACTAGTCTCAAAGATAAAGCGAAGTGTCTGCTTCATAAAGGTAGCGATCTATGTGAGAATTGACAGAAATGCGGCCCCTATTGTATATATCATATTTCGCATAGTACTTTATAGACACTCACCATTAAACTAATAAAAGGGATAAAATACCTAGCCATTTAAATGCATGTAGAAAAAAAAAGGTAGAACAAACAACGCCGAAGCCGTGACCTCGGTGTATATGAGTCCTTAGATAAGTTATCTTTGACTTAAAGTTTCAAAGTTCATTGTCATTAGTCCATTGTAGGGGTGATTTTTGTTTAAATGCTTAATTCCCGATAGCGTCTATTTGCATTTAGGCTCAATATGCACGTATTGGTTATTACGACGCTTGGATATATATGTTCGCTTCACTTAATAAAAGTATTTTTGACGTGACCGAGTTTATTTGACCTTACACCTGTCTAGTACGGATGCCGATTGTAAATTAATGATGTAGAAGGAAAAGATCTCCTTATACTAAAAAAAACATAGGTGTGTATAGAGTAGATTAGATCCATCTTTTGCATCTGAAAAACGACCGATTCACCAATTGAAATTGTTACCCGACAATTTTACTTGATAAATAAGGACAATAAATAAGGACTACTTAATAGAATTCCATCATATAACTATACGAAAAACATGGATATTTTGAGTTGCCTTGTAGATAGGCCAATAGCCGCGAGACTCTATATGTGGTGTTAATGCCGCTTGCGTATTTCGATTCGGTAACACTTTGACCTAATCCATGGTTACGTCGTTTGTCGACAATGTTTTTTCTTCAGAGTACGGTGGACAAACTGTTCCAGAAGACTCAGTCTTCACTTCTGATTGGCACCTCGTCGTGGAAGGACCAGTTCATCGAGGCGTTTAAAGTGATGGCCGATGACGAAGGCGATGATGATGAAGAGGGTACGATTATTTTCCGAAAAAGCAAAAAAAATTGTCGGTAGTTTTCAACTGCACAAAACAATGTACCTAATATGATTTCACTTATCGGCTTACCTGATCCGATAGTCGCTATTGTGTTATTGTGCTTTAGTGAAACCATAATCAGAGCTATTGTCGACTGGATGATTCAATATTGTTTCCTCATTTTTTTTTGTTTGTTTGCTTTATTTCGTGTATTGATAACATCCCTTTACACTGTGTTTATATTTTCGCTTGTGCAATTTAATTGATAGGTGACGAGGAGGAGATCGGTAGCCTGGTTGGAAGTGGGATCGGCGGAAAGAGCTCAGGGGCTCGTTCAAAAGATTCGCTGGCTAATCTACCCACATGCTCCGATTACGTATTCCACTTCATTACCGTCTTCTGGAAGTTCATCTTCGCCTTCGTACCACCTACCGACTACGTGGGTGAGTATTTATTGCCCGCCTGTAGAGTCATTGACGATTTCTAAAAGAAACGAATACTCTATACGGATGTTCCATTAAAACTACAGAACGCGTTTTATACAATTTCTAATCGCACTGCAACAATTGTACGGATTCGGATTCTCTACGACTCGCTTAGAGTCAAATTGATATTTTCGCTTCCCTGTAGATTTCACATTAAAACTGTTCCAAACGTACTTACCTTCCTACAGCACCGTTCGTATAAGAACTAAGTACCTTTGTAACTTTATCGTAACGGAAAACTTCTAAAACATGTTCGGGAACAGTAGCCATTTTGTCCTTATTAGTAGTGCGGAATGATTTATTCGTGACCCTTCTGGCGTTTTCTGTAAACAGTCTGGTGACTCAATCTCATCTTTTTTTCATTTCATTGCGCCTTTATTTTTTAGGCGGTTGGGCGTGCTTCACCGTGTCGATTCTTATGATCGGCGTACTAACCGCATTTGTCGGCGATCTCGCCTCGCACTTCGGCTGTACGATTGGCCTCGCGGATTCGGTAACGGCCATCACATTTGTAGCTCTTGGCACGTCTATACCCGACACGTTCGCTTCCAAAGTGGCCGCTATTAACGACAAATATGCCGATTCATCCATCGGTAACGTGACCGGCTCGAATGCGGTCAACGTATTTCTCGGCATTGGCATTGCGTGGTCACTCGCTGCCCTTGTCCATTGGTAAGATGTTTCGTTAGCCTATTCACACGCTTCTATATCATATATTGTCTTGGAGTAGTATTGTTTTAGACTATCGTACATTGGCACCTATAGATTATTTCTAAATCGCATTGTATGTGACATGTTGAGTTTCTAAGACATGCAAAGATAACCTTGACGAAAGTGAAAACCTTTGCTCAGATGACACCATTTTTAAACTAGGCTAATATATTTAAAGGCTATAAGCGTAAGTAACTGATATATTCGATCACCTGTACTTCCCCGTAATCATGTTCTTGTATTCTATTGTGGTGGCCTCACGAGGGTACAGACTAAGCGTTATATATATATACAGACGAACAGGTTGAATATCTTAAACACCTTTTGTTGTTTAAGTACTCTAGAACATACATCGGGACTCATTCCTAACGATTGCTAATAGGCGGTAGTTTATTTACGAGCTTCGAACGAAGGAATACGGTGGTCAGTATCAGTGTAGGCTTTCGTTCCTAATTAGATAAAGTGATGCGCTTCTTTCCGGCACACTATAGAGCAGTTCTGTTGGTTTTTTGGAAAAGCTAGTTCCCTGAAGAAAACACCTGCAAAACTAATATACAAGAGAGAGTCATCCTTCGCTTTTTCTAGAAACCTCCCAAGAAAAATGTTTAATTATTAAAGAGAGTATATTATATACAAATCGTAATTGCCTCAGATGGCGTCATATGGTTACACCGGGCAGCGCCAAAAATTTAACTTATACGAAAAAATAGCCACAAGCAAGTCACCTCCGCTATAGCAAATCTAGTGGTACTATATTTTTAGTCAAAGTTAAATCAACCAAAAAGTTTCGTCTCTGACATTGTGTTGTTTTGTGACAATATTCGTTCCTAATATAGGCTTTATTTACTACAACTATGACAAACTATTCGTGTGTCAGCCGACTATGGATTCATTGCTGCTCGATTATGGACGTCAGTTAAGATAACCACAATATCGATCAAAGCGTCAGATAAAAGCGATTTAATTTTGGTTTGTCAAATCTAAATAAAAAAGGTTTTATGTTAATGCTATTCTAAAGGTATAGAAATATGAGGGGCATACTCATAAGGTTGTTTAATAATAAACAGCTATGAGCTTTCCGTCAAGTTTACAAGTCTTGTAAAGCAGTTCATTACTTTGTAGGATCCACGTTTACAGGAAGATCAGGTTTTTTGTTCAAACCTAAATTCCTCATGACCTCACGAGCAAATCAGCCTAAGCTCTTTCGCAAGAAGCAAAAGTCGCTGGTACAACCGAACGGTAGCAATCATATTCCATAGGTCAACCTTCCAAGTCAGCCGAACATGAACCCCATACGCAATTGATTTTCAGCCGGAAGTCGTAAAATGATGAATTTATGAGACAAGCGCAGAAACTTAAATTGGTTTCTTTTGTGTCTTCGATTAGATAGCCACATTTTAAAGGTCTGCGTACGAAATAGTTTATGTCCACTTCGGTTAAAATCAACAAAATCAACTTTTTTTTTTACGGTGAATACGCACTATAGGTAAATAATTTGTTTTTTTACCGATAAAGTTAACAGCGGGAACCTGACTGCCAGTTAAGTATTATACCTAGCCCATTACCTGCAAACGTGGGCCCTCTGTTAGATCTGCCCTCTAAACAAAACCGACATCGCCGGAACGAAGCTAGAACGAATGCAATGACAATTTACGTGAAATTATTAATATCATATGATAAAGATGTGCCCCTAAGTTACGATAGTCACTTACTACCATCACCACCCCTAGGACGTACATGTAATAATAACAATAATCGCGGAAACAACCTTACGTTAGTAGAATAAGCAAGTCAATATTTTCCCATTTTCTCATTACGACTATATTTTTGGTTACAGGAAAAATGGTACAACTTTTAGAGTTCATCCAGGCAACTTGGCCTATTCTCTGACTTTGTTTTGCATCTGTGCTGCAGTGGCCTGCGTGGTCTTGCTTCTCCGCCGACGGCCTGAGGTCGGCGGAGAGCTCGGTGGCGCGATGCGGTATAAACTACCAACTACGGTGTTGTTCGCTAGCCTATGGGGTTTCTACGTCCTGATGAGCACCCTTGAGGCGTACGGGATTGTCAAAGGATTTTAAATTTTGTTAAATTCTGCGAGCTACTGCTATGGTTCAATACCAAATGTACCACTTAATAACAGAGCCATTGCGATTAATATTGGTGTTTCGAAACAAACAGTGAGTACATAATATTGCTATTGCTAGAAACAGCAACACGATAAGATCTGTTCGTATATGCAAATAACGGAACTGGCAACTTCCAGCAATAATTCGCGAAGATACAAACGAAATAGGTTATGTTAGGCTAACACGTGCACGCAAAGAGTAAACCCCTCAAAACGAATCGATTCGATCGGAAAGATCACTCGCACGTCAAACGTAAAACTTCGTTGCCCACCGGCAAACCAGTGGCTAATAGCTGACAGTTGCTAACTGCAGATAACCTTGCCCGCAGGCATACTTTGATTGATATCACTCTGTAGATAAAATTAAACTAAGAAGATACGACGACCTGATGAGTGCTCTCTCTCACTCAACATATATGCTACTCCTGTTACCATTATTATCGATTATCCACACACGGGAAATACGTAGTTTTGAGCCACTGAGAAGCCGGTAAGGAGATGGAGCAATGTCCGATCTTATGTTCGACGCTCTCTGGAAAAAATGTCTAAAAATCTAAAATGGAACAACAGCATAGAACATTAAAACATGAACATGACAACACGGGCAATGGGACCTGCTTTGACAATTATTGCAACCTATACTTATTACGCATACGAGCGCGGATCTATACATAGACATAAATGCATCAGATACAACGAAAGGGAAGGTGGAGGAAAAGCAAAACTCCATCATAGGACTAGACACCGTACCTGTTGCACCAGAACTTGATTGGTGAGTACAAGATATACTGGCCTTTGATTAATAGTATATTTGCGAGTACAGAGTGATTACAGGACACACACATCGTTCCTAGTCGTAGCAACAGAAGTGAAACATCCACCCTAAGCCGGACTAGCAAGTTCCGCTTCGAAATTCCACCTCGATCATCACTCTTGTTCGATGTCTTCTGGAAACAAGAGCGAGGGACGCAGGAAAGAATCAACCGTAGCCCGGTGTCCTGCGTAACCGAACTGGCTGTATCAATAAGGAGAACCACATGTTGGCGATGTGTGCCAAAACCATTTCGATGTTACTTTAATACGAGTGTCTCTAACACTGTCTAGTCGTAGTTTATGAGCGTGTGCTAACCACCTTTAGAAGACGGCAGTAAGAAGCCACAACGTTTAGTTAAGAACTTCGTTCCTGATTAGTCGGCACCTGTGGCGACGACCGAATGTCTGATCCACTCTTTCGACAACAGTAACAACGACAACAATGTCCATCCGTTGAAATTCATGCAAAACTGCAAAATCCCAAGATGGATCGAGCTATATTTGATGTTAATAATTCGGATTACAACGGTCCGTATCAACGCAGGTACCATCAATTTTTCGGGCACCACCTTCTAGTAAAATGGCCCATCAGCAGAAACATGGTTGATTTTCTTGACTTTACCGTGCCATCGAAAAACTATATACGTCGCCTTTTATGGGACAAAGTACGCCATAAAAGGTCTTTTCTTTTTCTTTGCAACCCGAAGAACAATATAGTAAAATTTTGAATAGGCCTTTTTGCTTTCACGAGTTAGCTGTATGCGATACGGTCCTAAAAACGCGCCCGCTACGAACAAAAGGTTAGCTCCGAAGCTAGTTGTGTATTGTAATTCAAAAAAATTGAAGCCGAGCTGGCGAGGAGTAGCGGCAGTCGCTTGTACCGAAACATTAAAATAGGCGGTCAAAGGATGACCAACGATGTCAGTAGCACATGTATTATCCTACAGCGACATTGAAATGGTCATCAAAGAAAGAAACAAACAAACCAGGGAGTAGGCCTAATTTAAGAGAATACTGAAAGGTTTGCGTACGACTACAGGCATAAACGGCTAAGCGAAGCAGTCTGAGTACTTGTTACTGCAACTGTACAATAGAAACGCTGACCTAACAAAGAAAGACCTGAAATGCATAATTTATACAGAACTATCCAGGTAGTTGTTAGAAAAACGTGTAGGTGTCTAAGTGTCCATGTTCGTTCCCGACGTTCTTTGTGCGTCCTTCTTGGCATTTGATGATCATTAACAGACAATCCAAAAATCGCTCTTCCACCTAAAAAGTCAGTGGAGAAATGCCAATCGCTTATGCGACATTGTGCTAGCGCCTTCCACAACAACCGGAGAATGAGGTATGGCCATGCAAGGAACAACTATTGAAAATGATTCCGAAAACACTATACCATAAGGTATTTTCGTCCAACCAAACGTGTAGGCGCTTCGTTACATTAATACATATGTAAGCATCCGGGGTCAAATGTGGTTAATTGTACTAAGAACATATACAAGGTTATTCAACTGGTGCGGGGACAACAAAAAGACCACGCTACATAAAGAGTAGTGTGGTCGTTTTCGAATTGGACGCTGCAAAAAGCAGTGGATTGCGAACTAATAAATTTTCAAGAGATTGAAACACGAAGACGAAAGGCAGCAAACTAAGTTTGTTTTGAAAAGGTCAGCTTCTCGCGATTCCTTCGCCCCATAATCGAATGGTTACAGCTGTGAATGGGTGCAATCACGCAATGGTCGGCTACCTACAAAATTATTTCAATCTCGACATGAATGGGCTAGAACAATAACCCTTGCACTTTCTCAATAGCCATCTACGAGGCGAACACAAATAGTCCTTTTTATAGCAAAAGTGTCAACATTAATGTTCCGCGGTGAAGAAAGTTGTCTGAGCCAATACAATGATGTCTGCGACGCCAAACGGTACGGTTGTTGTGCGCGAACCTACTGGTCCCCCATAGCAAATATTGATATGATAGGTATAATTATGTACATAAACTAAACAGAAGAAAATGTTGATGAGACTGCTAATATAATGATAGAATAATGGTTAAAAGGATATGCCATGACACTATAACTAATGACGTAGACAGAAACAGCTGAAACAGCCAATAACAACAATAATAATAACTTAACAAATAAAAGTTCACCCGAGACGAAGCGGTGCCGTGTCGTGTTGCTGTGCAAGCGCTGTTGGAAAAAAAAAAAAAAGCACAATATTTACCCTTTTTCTTGTTAGGAACCGCGTCGACCATATTGATCGCTCACCACCGTCAAACCATTAGTAGCGAAGCTCATGTTAGGACTATTCATGCAACTTATCATTGGACCGCTCTCCATCATCATGCATTTTCCGTTCAAGCTATTTCCTATTACTAGACCGCATTTCCCGTCATGATTTCCTCTAACCCTGTCGGCCGTTTAATTATTAATACTACCAAAGTCCAACATCTTACTTCGAGGTAGTTAACGTGAACGTCAACAATGCTACCCCGACTAGTCGTGAACTATAGATGATTGATCACGAGGTATAGTTCGGCGAAGGCTTTTACCATTACGAAACCATGCGCCATCATCTACAAACGACGAAAGACAAGAGTTTACAGATATATTATCGAACCGTTAGGATTTACAATTTGAATATTTTTTGTAGGGTGAAGACAGGTCGCAGCATCGGACGCTGCACAAGCTTGCTGCCCTGGCTTTAAACGTGTGCCGTAAACACGAAAGAATGTCAACTGTAGTGGATATACAAACTGATAGTTAGCGATAAACAGTAATAGATATATTATAGATACAGTTATAGGTACATATATCGAAGAGCCACAATTCTCATCTGATGCATTTAATATGAACAAAGAAAACAACAGTAACAAATCATAGATTTATAATTGTTCGAATTACTAATTTGCGTCGATCAGAGGCGAGATAAAGATCTAATGTGTTAAATACAATATACATATTATCATGCATAGTGTAAGTATAAATAGATGAAAAAAAAAAACAAAGGAAGTGTCACATGCACCAGCACGCTGGTGAGAAAGGATAGCGCAGATTACGACTCGAAGCAAATAAAACAAAAAAAAAAAAAAAATCATGATCATTATTACAATAGCCGATTGAATCAACGACAGGCCTTGGTCCGCGAATGATATTTACTAAAATAAGTAATTAATCGTATTTCGTATAATGATAGTAGCTATAAAATGACAAACAAGTTAATATGTACGGGCGATCGCACAGGAATAAAAACAAAAAAAATCGCAATTCAGCTCTGTTATTCATTATGTTAATAATGACGATGGTAATTATATGATAAGTTAATAATATCGAAAGAGAGTTACTAAACGGCAACGATACAGTACGTGGATTACAACGAAGAAAGTTGATTGTCTAGTTAACAAATACAATACATTCGTACTGTTATAAGTAATGCTAAGTTCCTATAAACGTCGTTATTATTAAGTTATTCGTCGAAGAAGGCAGGTGCTAACAAGGACCGATATCCACGCACATCTAGTCTCCTATACGTGGCGCCAAAAAATGTTGACGGTGTTATTACGTGAAGCCGGTTCCTAAAATAAATCAATCATAACACCAGAGGAATATATTTTTACAGAGATATCTCATTGCTAGCCCTAATATAACTTGTGGCCAGGAACAATATTCATTCTTTTTTGGGGGAATAGGGCTATCTAGTTGGACAGTTCATATTGTTTTTACCTCTCTCTTAACGAATTTACCTACAAACGCTTAGGTTAGATCGAGCAAGATTTAGTAAGTTGATTATTATATAGTTGCTCGTTATTTTGATCTACATGAATATGATGCGTGCCTTCTACTACGATATGTTTAGCCATTCGTTCGAGTCTAGTACCGAACCGTCAAACCATTTTAATCTATTTTTAGTTTTAGGAACGATGTACTTAACAATGAAATCACAATAACTATTGTTGTCATCTAATTACTATAGTCAGTAATAATATATTTTTAGGGTAACTGACAGTAATCTCTGTTATTATCGTGTTCGTCATGGACCAGCTGGACCGATCGTAAAAGTAAAAATAAAACAATTACGTAAGGTGGCCTATAAAGGCGAACAAAAAAATACGCCACTCTTGCCCTTCATGGTCAACCGAAAGCCAAACGAACATCTGCAGCGCCAATACTAATTACTATATTTATTAGCGAAAAAGAGAAAACGGATTAACAAATAGCAATATGTAGCAGCTAACAAAGATGTCAAGTTGAAAAAACGAAAGGCTTGTTTTTTTCGCTCGTATCATTTTTAGGCCGCTAATAATTGGTGGGGTGTTTGCTTTATCCTGTACAGCGTCCTTATCGATATGTATTATATGAAATAATTTTTAGATCTACGAGTACATGTATCGTTTTAAAAAACTACTAGAATTCCTTTTCATGCAATTATTCTAATTTAGCTGCAACTACCATTTTAATATTACGACAATCATTATATTTAATGATCCCATCATGATAAATGCAAAAAGCGACTACATCATCTTCATCAGTAACCTGGTCACTGGGCAGCGTCACCACCGTTCGCCGAACTTCCATTGATAGATTTTGTCCAGGCAAGGCTGTATATCAAAACTCTGCTGTAGCCTTAAACAAACCCCTTTCTAGATACTTTGTGAATGAAGGAACTAGATGATCCGGTCCGAAAAACATAAATATAATAATGACACATCGAAAAAACCTTGGTAAATTCTTTTTTGTGCTGTGTCTTTCTTTCATAATTATAATTCAGGTATAAATTAACGCAAGCGAAGAGACTATATAATATCCTAAGTAGACCGAATTTGTCTTCTTTTCAGGTTTCATCGATTCGGTACGTATGAATTATGAAAAAGAACGCGCGATGAGGATTGTTAACTGAACCAAAATATGACTCAAACATAACCCTATAAAGTCGAATAACCGTTGTTCTCTTTACGGTCTAAATCGATTGCACTAGGCAAGAGCAAAATAGCTATTCTAAGCCGATGATTGTCTTAAATTCGAAATTAGCGGTAAACGATGACTTACAAAATTGTACACAATTGTAGCTCACACATACGGGCTCCCTATGACGGCAGGTAGGAGGAGTCTCATATATACAATGTCTGTTCATATAAAAAAATCGATCGAAGTTATTTTATCGGAATTCCTTCTTCAATGTACTAGGTTGCAAGTGTGCATACCAAGTCAGCTCCTAAAATTTGTCGTAATCACTCTCGCAGGCGACATTTGTGTACTTTCAAAGGATCGCGTCGTCTGCTTCGTCCGCAACATTGGAAAATAATTTTTTCTTCGCTGCCACCGAAGCACCCTTTCTCCTTCAGAACTTCTTTGGATGTGATCGCTTCGAATTCCCACCACCCGGTGGTGACGTACATGAACTTCACGAGTTTCACCTTGATCTATTTTCAGCAGCTCAAGGAGGTACTTTGTCCTGAAAGGGAACCGTCTCGGTTTCACTTGGTCAAGACCTTATTTCTTGTCCTTTCAGCCTCGAAAGTGAGGTAGGTCCGAGAGGTGTGAGCAAAGTCATCTTTTCTCTTTGGTCGCAGTAAACCCATATTTCGAATGACCCATTTCCAATCCTATAGAGACGAAGCTGAAAATTCCAATGGCGTGTAGTGATCCGTAAACGTGCCTCTCTTTCGAGGCGTCCTAGCCCTCGTTCGATATTTGGGATCAAGTCACGGACTCCAGTTTCCGAATTTCCGGCCGGTACGTAACGCCTTTATCTTTTACGCTTAGCATCCTTGAAGCCTTTGGGACTGCTATTTGATAGTTGCTTCCTCTCTTCAACTTTCAAGTCCCACAGGGGTGTTTCGGCAAGACAAGGACCGTCCGGACTGTCCTATCTGCTTGAGAAGTTCGCAGTGCAGCCGTCTTTTGTGTCTTACTAAAAAGCTTTCTGCTCGTTTTAAAACCTGTAGACAATCCGAACTAAATTGGGTAACCGAAGAACGTTATTAACTCGGCGACCGACATTAGAAGCCTGCTTACCCCTTTACCTATATATAAAGGGAGGATCCTAGGTATAGCGTTCTCCATTTTACTAGCTTTCGATCCACCTGTCCTAACGTAGAGTAATCCTCTGAATCCTTTATTCAGGTGTATGCTAAGATATCTAGCACCTTTCACTATATTAACCTATTTGCTCATTAGATTGAGATTGATTTCTCACACACGTTTCCTTCTTGTGAGAAAACTGCTCTCCGGGGCAAGCTCCAGTCCACTTTTCGTCATTTATTCCGAGATTATTGGTGTATAGCCCGATCTCCACACCGTTTTTCCTCCACTGTAAGGATCAGTAGAAGCCGACTATATACATCAAATGCTCTAATCCGCTTGAAAGAGCTTGCGGTCCTAGGACATCACCGTAGGCTACATTTTATAGAAGACCTAATATGCAGTCTTAGGGACTTTCACTATTGTTGGCAGTATGATCTCTTTACTAGTTTTTAACTCTTTCTGTTAGGTAATTAGATATTACGCGCACGAGGTAGGGTAGTGGAGCTTTCTTAGTCATCGTTCCAAGTATCATTTTCTACTATTTTTTATGTTGTACTACTACATTCTCTATGTTGAAGCTATTGTTGACTTCAAAGAGTAGTGTTTTGAATAGTTCTCGGCGTCGGCAAATCGAGCCATGTTTGAGTTCGGCCCTGGCTACCGCCCTACATATCGCCGCCACTTGCGGAATCCAGACTGTGTAGAGGACCTTAATTCATGCTCCTCAGCTAATCGTTGTAACTTGTCCGCAATGATTGCTTTGAAGCCCTTGACCAAAGAGTATATCAGACAGATTGGCTTCAACTTACCGTTTGCCGTTCGGATGAATAGCACTTCTGTCTTTAGACGACTGGCCACGAAACTCGGTGCTCAGTCTTTGTGGCCACTATCCCCAGAAATTTCTTGATTCGCTCTACTGCCAAAGTATTTCGACTGCCGTGACCGCTGGTGCCTCGTTCTCTGGGTCCGCTGCTCTTGGTCCAGACTCCTTGCATTGGGGAAATAGTTTTTCTTTATGCGGACTTTCTAACTTTCCGGCATGCCCAGTTTGATCTCTTCTGATTTCTGCCTCCGTTGACCATTTTGTAAGATTTTCTCTATACATCTGGAGCTCTATAGGGTGATTTTCCTAACAGCGTTCTTGCTTTCGCTTATAACGCGCTTAAGTTTCGTTCTACATTGTCGGCAAGGGGTAAACGAGCTTCAAGCTTTTTCCACGTCGTGTCTAGCTTTTTTTGACTACTCTTCTAATCTGCTAGCAATTCCTGCGTTCTTCCTTTTGAGTGGTGGAGTGATGGACCGAATCGCTTGGCGAATTGCATCCCGTATCAGGGATGCAGTGTAAATACTCAGTGCTCTTCGGAATGCTATTTTCTTTAATTATTTTGCTTAAAGCGTCTTTCAGAACGTTTATGCTCCGTAGTACGAATCAAGCTTTGAGCGGGGCTCGTGGGCGAAGTATATTCGTAGCAATCACAAGTTTATTTTATTATTATTATAAGCCCTTATATTTATCTATATAAATCTTTATATTAAAGATAATAACTCGGGCTTTTTCGTCGCTGAGTACTTGCCATCCCGTGGTTATCCCTATTTTCTCGCTGCAGATGATAAAATCTATAAGCGATTTCTGCTCTTCCCAATGAAACGTTAACTTCCCGCTCTGTCTACCGGCTACAGATTATCCAAAGCCGTCTAGTCCTTCAAGGAGGGCCTTATTTAGATGTAGTGCGTTGCAGATTGAAACCATAAGGGCATCTAGATAAGATTTCTACTTTTCCAGCGTGCAGTTCGGCGTAATATAGTAGGAATATACTCCCTGCTGCCGATCTTCCCTGCTGTATCCACGAAAATCCTTGATTGCTCCTGTGCTTCTGTGCATATCTGCATCCTAATCCTACCTGTCACTTATTAGTGCTATGTTCGGTTCGCTTACAAAGGTGCGCGAAGTTCTCCTTCGATATCTAATCCAGTATAGCATGGGTAAATTGATTGCAATTGCAGTTCATCTGTAATATTTTAATCGAAACCATTAGTGTAAATTGGTGCTCCGGTAGTTAGAATTTCTGTGGGATGATCAACGCCTAGTCTAGCTTCTTCTTTATCTTCTACGCCCATTGCAGATCTTATCATCGCCTTGGATTTGTTTCTATCTTGGGCCGTCTAGATCTTTTTTTCTGCTTGTGCCGTTTGAAATTGAGTAGTTTTCTCCGGTACCGCCTGCTTCTGTTCAAGGACTACCCTCTTGAACGCAAGCCAAGTCATCGTATTTGCTGCTGTCCTCAGCCAGAGCCAGTCTAAACTTCGGATCTGGCTGATAAATAAGGGGAGAAGCTTCAACTGCGCATAGACTTTGCCCATGGTAAGTTCTTCTCACTACTGTTTCACTTAGGTTTCCTTACCCAATTTTTCTTCTATTTACCCAGTTCTGTCTATTTTACAAATGCATAAGACAGATAACGCACCACAATATTTCGAAACTTAGTTGGATACGTTACTACCTTGTTTCATTGTCTGCTATTGCGCTACAACGTTTATTGGGCATTAGAGCGAGAGCAGGCAAAGCATTAATAAATTTTTTAATGAATAAACATGAAAGTTGGTCCCGTCTTTTATATATATATATATATATATATATATATATATATATATATATATATAAGTGAAAAGTACGCACTATATATAACTGTAGAGCCCTTTGTTTTAATCCAGTACATTTATTTCGTCTAGTCTTAAGAACACAGTAGATTTGAAGGTTGGCGCGCAAATGGTTGTCTGCTATGTTTTAGTTATTCTTGCTTCCTGAGGGTAGTGAGAATGGCTATAACAATCTAGGTTATATACCCGTATGACATATTAATGTGTGTCAGTTTTAGTCGAGCCATACAAGAGTTTCACAGAATGACAAAATAGAGAGAGCTAATCTGAGTCAAATTTACCCTCAGTTCGTGAGTAAACTCTATAGAGAATAGAGTGCCTGTCGTGGAGAACGAGAGCGCTTGCGAAAGGTCGGCCAAATAGTTTAGAATACTTAGTGCGACCACCGATCTGTGAGTATGTCTTCCTGTTGAGGTCGGGGACTGTAGTGTTTGACATTTCAGATAGCATTCCATCTGACATGCCTTTGCATGCGCATTCGACTACCATATCGATAATTCGTGGAGGGCTCTTTTCAAAACGGATGCAAATTTCTAGTTCAGTAAGAGACTTTTGCTGTAATTGTTGTTGCAGCATGCGTAAGGACAATTCGCTGGTGAGTAACGTGTATTCATTCTTATTGAACGCCTGCTGACCAGCTTGAATTGTTCGGATTACGGAAAAGATCAGATAGTCTAAAGAGAATCAGGTTTATCCATCCTACGAATCCTCACTTTATCGTTATACTTACGGTAAATATTTAGAGTATTCGTTAGGTGATAAATTGTCAGTTAAATAAGTCGTGCTTTGTGTGTGGTGACAGTTATATGGTATAGTAGTGTCAGTGAACAAAAACCTGTACTGTCCCGTTGCATGCTCTGTGAATGATTGGGTTGCCCTACTAATATTTGTCAACTCAACACAGTAGTGAGTGATACATCAACAGTCGATCTGTGTAACAATCGCGCCTGGACGGTATATAGAGCGTTCACTTAAAATATTACATTAAGGTCTACTATTCAAAATGTAAAAAAAATATCATATTCGATTCAAAGAGTTTATGCTTCTACTTGAAAACACTACCTAACAATAATGAGTAAGACGTATTTTTCTATTTAACAGATTTGCATAATAATTCATTACGCCGTTGTGTATTAGCGAACCAATATTGCGTGCTCATTTATAGTTCTTACTATTAGTTATTATAAATGCAATCAATATACGTGTACAGTATTCTTCGTACTACTGAGCGTAAGATAAGCTAAGAATTATAGTCCCAAACTTGCCACTTAGATCTCGGTAGATCCAAGTTTTTAAGTTAATATATATATATATATATATATATATATAACAGGTTCAATATCTTAGACACATTACAATTTCAAGTAGAAGTCTAATGTATATAATAGTTATAGTATAAAACCTTTTTCTCACCACATGCTTAAAAAGATATCCTAATAGATTGTTTTATTACTGGGATCTAATGGTTTTGACTGGTTCATCTATATTGGGAGATATATATGCAGTAGAATTCGGAATCGAGACAATGCTTTCGATCGAGGCAGTATTTTTCAATAAATAAGTTACGAGATAAAGCTGACTCTCACTGAGTATACTAAGTGTTAAATGTCCATTATTGTACAAAAAGCCATTACAATTTTTTGTACATGAAGTGCAGTTAATAGGCAAACCTTTAGAAGGAAGGCTGCCTTTGAAATCGGTTTGCGGTCTGCCGTCCAACTATGCTCGCCGTATAGAAACAGGTTCCTTTAGATCAATGAACTTTGGTACCAGTAAGTTTACACTGGTGGTATCGATATTCGACTGAGTTTTTCTAGGTTCATTCTTTAAATGCCGTGATTTTCAGGGTAGATCATCAAGTAAAAGAAATACATTATTGACGGATGGTATTAGATATTTTTTTTCGCTTTAGAACAAGCTCCTTTTGCATACGTTTTTATGGTATGAAAGACTTTTTTGGCAACCCCACTTACCTAACGTGATGAATTCGTAACCAATGTAACTACGATTGGCAAATGAATGTCAGCTTTGTCCATTGCTTACCAAAGTCAAATCTGCTACAGGTTGTGTCTTCTTTTACTATTAGTTTAATCTGTTTTGTAAAACCGTTATTATCAATTAAAAATAACCCTATTGGACACAATTTCGAATTGCCTAGCGGGAGAAGCTAGAAATTAAGTTGATCGAGGAAGAGTACCCATTTGATCTGAAGGATTGAGACCTATTAAAATGACTAGCCTTATCCGCGTTTAAAATTGACATTAGGCAATAAGAGATAGATGGAGTAGAAGCACTTCTAGAACGTTACGTATGACATACATGTACTGTGAGCAAGTATATGTAATATCCACTGACACGTATGTTTTTTCTGCGTTTTTTTTTCTGCGATAACGGTGTTGTTTAATCTGATTTCCTGACGTAGTACAAAAGGTCAGCGGGCCACATTGGATATTAACGTAAGACCCTATCGTTGAGTCCTGAACGGACGTTATGAATAATACGTCATTGACAAGCGAACAAAATGCTAAATGTGCCGCAGCCCAAGATCTTGAACTGGAAGCTCTCGAGTCAATATACCAAGCGCCGATGTTTAAGCGCGACAACTTCGGAACACATCTTTCTGGTGCTACAATAATCATACATACAGAATTACCAAAATTAAATATACACGTCAACATCAGCTTGCCCTCATCGCTGGGAATAGAGCCGGAGACGTTTCAGGTTTGTTCAATGCACATATGTATTATACGTTTGGGCTCAATGCGCTAGTTAAAATGAAAATATCATTTTTAAAAGTTAAAAATTATTCGTTGCATACTGTCATTTTCCAACCCTTGTTTGGTGATCCAACCGCTGGTTAGTTAACAATTTGATATCATTATTTGACTAGTATAGCTCTCGCTTTCTACAAGCACACGACCTAGTTTTATCCGGACGTATCGTTTTGAATGATGCTCCTTAGGTGGAACACTTACCTCCGTTGCAATTCGACGTTGTCTTTCCTAAAGACTATCCCGATTACGACAAGCCACGATACATTCTCAAATGTCATTGGCTTTCACCCGGCGATTTAAGCCGCGTGTGTGCTAAGCTTGATGAGCTCTGGGAATTAAATGATGGGATGTCGATAGTCTTCATCTGGGTAGACTTCCTAGAAAAGGAACTTTTGACATTTCTCGGTAAGTGTCCTTAACAGAGTTTCTATAAAGAACACACATTTTTGAGATGAACAGGTACACGCTGTTCATTAATGATTAAATACATTATAACATTATTACGAATAACAATTTAAATAGTAACTATAGTGAGAAGTACATCACTAACGTACATTTATTTGCACAACTTTTTTTAATCTATTTTTTGCACAATCTGTTTTTATATTTCCAGTAAACCTTCTTGAACCTAAACTCATTTTTTTAGCATAGACATAGGAATGGTTTTACTTCAACTCAAACGTTGTACAAGTATTATAGGCAGAGCATAAGATATATATTAGCTTCACATTTACCAAATAGTGTAATCAGTCATTTTGAGCTAGGGCATATCTTTGCGATGCAGCAATTAATGACTGGTTTATTATTATGATCTTGTGCTTTCATACATGTACAATTACTGCTTGTTTGTAATTCTATATAAAATATGATAGACCGTTCTTATAGACCATGATGATATGATAGACCATGATTAGTTACGCTTGTCTTTTACGCAGGAATGATTGAGGAGCTGAACGTTTTGAAGTTGCTGATGTTTCAACACCGCATGGGCCATCCTAACATTTCACACAAAGTGTGGCGACCAGAATTCCCAGGAAAGGAGCGTGGACGCTCAAGGTTCGATGTACGTGCTCGAACGATTTACATACCACCAAAATCGTTCGCAGCTTTCATCAAGGAAGCCAACCAGTCTCGTAAACGCGAGCTGTTCAACAAATCATATGTTACTTGCAGCATCTGCTATTCATGCGTGTGCGGAAAAGATATGACAATGTTTAAGCCGTGTGAGCATGCTTTCTGTAACAACTGTACACAGGCACAATTCTGTATACAGATTAGGGATGGCTGTCCGAATGGGCTGCTAACGTGTATGGAGCCAAGTTGCACCTCTGAGGCTCTCTCTATAGATGTAAAGAAGCTGGTTGGAGAAGACCTCTTTGAAAAATATGACCAGCTTCTTCTAAACCGGTATCTCAAATCGAGAGCTGACATAATATCATGCCCGCGTGAGCTTTGTGAAAAACCAGTGATAATCGAACCAGATTCGGCTATGGCGACCTGTAGCACTTGCAATCTTAGCTTCTGCTTAACGTGCCGCCGTCCGTCACACGGTATCAATCCATGTGAAACAGGTAATGCAAGTCAGCTAGCGATGAAGTACCTGAATGCAACTCCCGAGGTACGCGCCGCTCTCGAGAAAAAGTTCTCCAAGAAGTACTTGACCGCCATCGTTAACGAGTACGACTCGCAGAACTGGATCAAGGAGAACGCCAAAAAATGTCCTAGGTGTCAGACAATTATTCAAAAAAGTGAAGGCTGCAATAAAATGCAATGTTGGAAATGTAGTACAAGGTTCTGCTACCTGTGTGGCAAATCGCTGGAGCATTTGGCTGATCCGTACCTGCATTTCAGTGACGAATTAAATGAGTGCAACAATCGTCTATTTGAAGGTACGGATCTCGATGATTTTGAAGATGATGACTTCGAGTGGTTGATCGAGGATGGTGAAGATATCGAATTCATGCGTATTTGAGCAAGCGGATCTTGGCAATTTGTGACAAATTCACTTGCTCAAACACGCGGCAAAAACCTTAATGTAGCTAGACATAAAACAAACAGCATATGTTCGACCAGGTTGCGAATTCCTTCCTAAGCAAGTAATAAATGTACACGACACGGTCTTAGCCAGCATAGAATTGTTAAGAATCGATAAACATTTGTTTATAATTGTATTCATAATTTGTTGTTTCTGTGTTATTTTATATGGATAAACTTACATTGATAAAGTAAAACAGGGCAAATCTGACTATATTCTTATGTAAACTCTTCTCGTACGTCAGAACACTTATGACGCTTGATTGGTGATTGAGGAAAATCAAGGTCATTTCGTTTTTATCGGTGTCTACAGAATGATCTTCTAATTGTACCAACACTACTAATTTTGTTTTATAAGCGTACATAAATCCGTTTTCAAAGAGCAGAAGGCAATACATAGAAAAAATGTAACTGCTAAATATTTGTACGTTATCTAATTTTTCGCAGAATGCAGAATCGATAAACCAGGCGAACAACACATGCTGAAAACTTATCAAAGAATGAAGCCAGTTGTATGTTACGAACGAAAAGCTGTTCGAGATGCTTAATGATGACATAAAATCACAAAATGAGGCGAAAAATGTACTGATCATCTGGCAGAATACGTAAGATGCAGAAAATTAATTTTCGATGTCTAAATATTAGTGCAGGCAAATGGTAATCAAAAGAACAGTACGAAGAATGATCAAGCTAAAACGATTCATAAAGTGCAGATATTTGCATTTTTTAAGGTGAACCATTATTACTGTTTGCTTCAGTGTATGCTCAAATGGGATTTGGTAGATATGAGAATAGAATTTGTATGTCGGTAGTTTGTCGAAGCTTGTGTAAACGACCCTTACTATTAGATAAATAATTGTTCTATATTAGAGAATATTTCAGTTCTTATCTATTCATAAAAACCTAGAAAAAAAAAGAGCATTATTATACTCAAAGTAAGGTCGCTTTGCCTTTTATGGTTCACTAGCTAGCAAAGCCTACACTACCTTACTTGCAAGTTATTAATGTAATTTATGAGGAGCGATTCAAACATATTCAGTCCTCGACTAGACCGACTGCCGAGATGATGTGGAGGTGCAGACGATAACGAGTTCTTCTACTTCGGTGTTCGTTAGTTTATTACTTGGATCGCTAGGTGCGGCATAAAGTACTGATAAAAAAAATCCTGGAACCAGGCCATTAGGCGTTTTTGCTTTGTTCCTTAAAGTTGACTAGAATCACGAGCGAAATAAGCAAGATATATAAAATAGGAGGAAGGAGTTTAGAGAAAAGCGATTCGTTTACCAAAAAGGAAACGGACCGGGGAAAAGCCTTATTTGCTATTAATTATTATTTACTGAATCAATTATTATACTTTAAATTTCGATAAGGACGTTGGTTAGGTATTTGTAGTTAAGCCTCACGTTTCTAACGCATCTTTTCGAGTATATCTTAACTTTTCGTCTCTCTCGAAAATTTGCCAAATTCAATGCTAATAAAGATACCAGCCTTGGATTATGCATGTCCCAAAATTTTTCTGCACCGCTATGAGCGACGCGGCGTTGACATAGATATTTCTGTTGGCTTGAAACCTGAGTTACCCATACCAAGACTTGTTTACTGTACGATGTAATCTTTAGGTGTATGGGCTCTTAGCCCATACCGCCTGGCGAATGAGGTCAGATAAGACTTAGTCCTCCTCTTCGGTTGATGCTCCAGCTGATGTTTTCCCCCCGCAAACCGAGCCTTACTACATAGCCTTTATTTCTATAAAATTTCGTACCTCATAAAACTAGGAAGCATTCGAAAATATTAAGCAGAACCGACGTGCACGCCAATGGCAATACCGTTATTACTTACAAGGAAGCTTTACTACTTATTGAGTGTACGAGTTTGGTTAGCTTACAGGCAGATGACATATCTGTCATTTGCCGCAGTCGTCTTAAGTCTCAAATCATCTTCGCAATGACAAACTGCTACGTCGGAGTGTATCTCCTCGGAAAGTTTCCCGGCCGTCTGATAGCTTTCGGCCTTGAATAATTTGAAATATAAGTGAAAGAAGAGATCAATAAATGTATTTATATAGTAGATAGTAAAACTTGCGAAATGTTTGCCATAAACTGCTTTTATCCAAAAATATCAAGGTATTTACTTCCCGATAAGAAGACATTGGCAGCTTGACTTATCTTCCCGGTAAGCCCGCCCTTTGAACACGGTCCCAGCCAGTTGTAGTCGCGTAGTGATTGTTTCTCTCCGAACAACCGTGAAGCCAACACTTTGTCACAACAGTTGTTATCGATGTCATCAGTTCCCGTATTCACTTCCGTTATAGACACTTCCTTAGCATCTACAGTGGAATAATCGGAATGAGCCTGGATCTTCACCCAGCATGTCCCCTTGGAGATTTACTAAATCTTTCCTAATGCGTCCATACGGTTGAGAAACGGCTACTCCCGTCCCCAATACACAAGTTTACATAAAGGCTTTGTTTGGGGAAGGAGGACGTTAACCCCACGTTTCGGTACGATAAATTACACAGAGAATTCTGCCCGTAAGTCATGTGTTTGAGGAGGGAAAACACACACCCTATTTAGTATGCTCACTGTCATTATCTATTACTTACAGCTCCTGCAGAAACCCGGCAAAATTAACGAAAACCATGAAACAAACCAAAGTCCTTTAGCTCTGCGTTCCGTCCGTTCGCTGCAGCGAGACGCAGCACAGCGAGCCCCCCACTTAACCTCTTTGTCTGTGCGTCACCATAATGGTTGCCCGAGGGCTTCAGTTGCTATTCTTGTACGCCATCGACTCCATCTGTCTGTACATAGCACTGTTGTAGCATTCTCTAATCACTTTCCTCGTCGATTACAGCGCCGCCATTTGGCAACGATCCAAGCTTGCTTGAATATTGGTTGGCCCGGACGGTGTCCAATTTTTACCTACCCAGGTCGGCTTTATCGCAGACTGATAGTCGCGTGCCTATTCTTGATCTCGGTAGAAAAGGAATAATTTCAGCGTCCTGCGGGGGCCACTCGGCTCATGCTTAGCTACCGCTTAAGAAGAGGGTCGGCGATAACTAATTTGCGTGATAAAATGATTTTACTATGAAATTAGGTTGAAATCACGTTTAAATTTTATACCACATTGTGCAAAGAACCTGCTCAATGTGACTGCTAAAAGTGAAATGAACAGTCATTCTGCAATGTTATTCACAATTCTCCGGTTCATTGGAAATTTAAAAACAACACTGAAATAATAAACGAAGTTATAAATAAATCTACGTTTTTCAGTGTGGTATTTCTCCCTATATTTACCATTTTAATTATTATTTCTAATAAAATCATTAAATAATCTGCATTTACCTCTTTAAGAATGTACATTCTCTACAAAAACTTCGTCAGGACACTTATCAAGAAACGTCAGAAGCTCCTGCTCTGGAAAGCTTACTTAGATGAGGATTATCGACATCCCATCGATTAATTCCTAAAGCTTATTGAGCCCACACATCGGGCTTAAATTTCCGGCTGACATCTGAGAATGTATAATGGTTTGTTATGATTGGGATCGCCTTCACGAAAGATCACGTCGCATTGCGAAAGGAGCTTCGACCTAAGAAAATTATGATTATCGCACCAAAAGAGATGTGTTTTAACCAAAGCTATCGCTTTTAAACATCAGCGCTCTCAAGAGCTTCCAGCTCGAGATCTTGGGCTGCCGCATATTTCAAGATCTGTTTGATAGTATATGGAGGTATATATGAAGTTTTCACGTCGCCCGTTCGGGACTCAACCATAGGGTCTTATTTTGGTATCAAATGTATCACACTAATCTTCAATGGTAAAATGGGAAGTCAGCTTAAACAACACCATTCAAATTTAAGCTATTTCTGTTATCGATATACACCCAAAAAGGCGAAATCTAGGTATAACATGTCTCACTAAGACACCTTTATTATAACGTATCGAAGGATGGATATTACTGAACAAAATATTTCATACTGTTTGTCGGTCCGAAGTTGTGGTCCGGTTAGGATGTCGAACTTCCTAACTCATAGATAACTCTCCTTCAGTTATACAAATGCGCTGCAAAATGCGTCTGATATAATAAAAAAAGCTTACTACGAAAAGGTAACTATTGAATAAGTTAACAAGAGCAACTACATTAGTGTTGGAAATGGCTTAATTGAACTGTAAGTATTGGTCCGAACAGAGTATAATATTTCCTTTGCACCGCTTGAACTGCTGTAGACAGAGGTTTGCTGCGTCACATAATACGATTAATACTATTTCTCTTATATATATTAATATATATTCTCTTATATATATAGATAGGAATGTTATCAGAGACGCGTTAGTGATTCACGATACAGCCTATACTGTTCACGTGTGTAACATTAGATGCCCAGGTACAGACAGTATCGAGCATATGCTTCCCTGCATTTACCACTCAACCAAATAGTAGAGAGTAAAAAAAGAATTTCGGATAACTGCGTACTTGGGGTTCGGCTAATAGCGGTTCACTTGAATATAATGCCACGACAAAACACTAAAAAAAATATATCGACAACTTTACTCACTCTCTATGATCGTTAGCTATTGCCGTTAATTGAAATCAAAAACCCGGAAATGTTAATAATATAGCTCGGGGTCTGAATAAAATGATGACCAAGTTGGCTATTGGTTATGCTAGTGAAGTGCAATCCACACACCGGTCGACAAGAAGCATATCAGAGGTATTTCACTGATCAGTGGCTTAATTGGACAGTTGTTGAGAGACCAAGCGACGGAACAATGCAGACCTATGTCTCCCGTCAATAACATCATATTAGACAACTGTAGTAAACCCTGACTCTTCAACTAATTACAGAATAACAAAATATTCACCAAAAACGAACGACGATGTGAAGGCCCTAATAATAAAGCTGAGCTCTATCGGCCCTATATAGTTAGAGTATTTTTTCTGCAATATGAACGATTCTGTATTAAAAACTACGGCAGCAGCAGAAAAAGATTCCTTCAGGTACTTCATTCAGAAAAGATGTGCACAGCTGTTTTCAATTGCCGCATGAAACCAACTGACACGGCTGTCGCGCATCTTCTGAGCTTGCATAGAGTAATCGTGGAGAAAACGCCGTAGGCTACCGCAACAGCCGCGTGTATACCATATATGTAGCTACTGGCAAAAGTCACATGCAAACAAAAGCAGGAGAACCTTCATAGTTTCAAGTATTCGAACAAAGTATTCTAAATCTTCTGCCAACCAGTTTTGTGGGACTTGCAGGAAAAGCACTGAAGTCACACTATAAATCAATGAAATATCCAGAGTTCAAAAGATTATGATAAAATGCGTTTATTTTTTATTTTGTATCACTTCTGCTGAATTTCGCTGATACAAATACACAGGTAAACCCACATACAGATGGGGACGACATATGAGGCTAATTGCTCTTGGTCTTCTATCTACCCTTCAGAGAAGTTGCAGTAAATAATGCGAAGGAGTAGCAGACGACCATTAAGCCGTCCAGTTTAAACTGTACCGCGTTTTCCCGCAGTACCTTTAAATTTAGTCTGTCCTTTGTATCTAAAAGAAGTAAACAAAATAGGTACTGGCCAGTTGAAATTATATGGAATATAATATATATATATATAATAGAAATATAAATAAGCATCCAGCCAGCTTATGTTTCGTAATCTAAAACTTTGTTCTCCAAGCCTATTTCTGCGATACCCACATAAATACGCTTTCACTTTTATATAGAAAATAGTCACTTCCAGTGACCCTATAATCCAACAGCTCCAATCCGCATGTGCGGAAAGATGAATGAACTGCCTTAAATAGTAACTTGTGGTCACTTTGATGGTTTAGAGTGTTCGCATTACAGCAGCCATCACAACAGTCCGAAACTAGAGATTTTTTTAATATTCTCCGTGTAATTTTTTTGTCCCTCTCGCATGAACTCGAGGGGCAATCTTGACAGCACTAGTGAAAGCTGAAATTAAGAGTATCTAGAAAAAGTGCTCCTTTTCGCAATCCCTTTGCGTGACATGAACTCTTAATTTTGCTATCGCTCCATACGGCTACAAGCAGACGCCTCGAAACGAGTATTCTATTATTGTTTACATAAGGTTTGTAGTTGTTTTTAGATCTGCGCACTGTTCGAACAACATTTTGTGCGCGTCGTGACCGCAGAGTTTGTAAATGGTAGCATTGCTTTGTCGTAGATTCTTCTAAGTATATTATAGTATTTATTATATTCTATGTATACATATTATAATATAGACTATAATATGCAGAGAGAGGCTCTGTAAATGAAGGTATTGGCAAAAACGCGTTGACGCGTGGTTGACGTTTATCTCAAATGGACAGCGGTGCTGCAATTCTGTTCTAATCACTGGAGCAGCGATATCGACAATGCAATCGCTGGTACGATTACAGTCATCTTTGGTAAATGGCTTGGTGTTCACAAGTGCGATTTGCGTACGAAAGACCTCGAACGCCCGTGGCAGCATAGCTAAAACAATTGCAGCTTTAGAAAGACAACAAAAGCAAGCAGCAAAAAGCATGTACGCGCCACAAAAGTTTACGAACTTCCTTGTAGTGGACCTTGAAGCCACTTGCAATCAAGACGGACCTCCACCTTACCCACAGGTAAGACTAACCGGCGCGAGGCAATCTTTAAATTAGTTACAGCGTCTTTTAGCAGTGATAGAATAAAATATGTTTAGAATTACTTGTTTACTATTAAAGTAGCACGTATATTGCAGGTCTTTGCCAGCCTCATTTTGTTTTACTTCTAAAGCGTCTTTTTGTGAGTAGTTACTTTTCAAACGTGTTCATTTGGCACTTTCTTTACGCCTTACGTCTACAAGCCAGATGCTGTAAGGTTAAATCAGCTGTATTAGAAAAAGCTTCCTTCTCGGTCTTTGGTGTGATGTGAAACACTAACCTGCCAATATATAATTGATGTCGTTGTCGTTTGGTAGGAGATCATTGAATTTCCAGTATTGCATTTGTGTGGCAGGACATTTCAGGAGGTGTCGCGCTTTCACACCTACGTTCAACCAGATGTCCACAAAGAATTATCGGACTTCTGTACGGAGGTATGTACGATCGGTAGTACGTGCAGTTTGCTCTACCGAAGCCATCACTGCACTACGTTTTTATCATAGAGCCAGAGATTATATATGCAGTACGTAAAGCAACCTGCTCAGAATTAAAGCTGTTCGATGTTCGAAACGAGCGTTACTTCTCACTGTATACGGGCTATGGCCATAAGTGAGTAAACGCTTCGAAAGATTGTGATTTAATTACCAGTTTTATCAGCTGAAGTTAAATTGTTAGTTCGAAGTAGCACATATTTTCAGTGACGACTTTAAATTTATTAATCATTATCTTGCACACTAGAATCCATTGCGTAGTTATATTATACTCATGGCTCGAGATTGTTCGTTCAAGCCCCGTATTTTTGAACGTATTTGAACCCATGAATGAAGCACTGACATTGATTTTTCAAAGGAAGATCAAAGTTGAAACTCTAAAATGAAGACTGTGCAAATGTCTTCTCTATATCTAAACCATAATTCAATATATGCGCCTTGCGAGATTACAATATGGGAAACGTGTAACTGATCGACATTGTGCCTGATGTTTTGGTTTTTCTTGTTCTATGGCTGCGTCGTTGTTCTTCTCGAACAGTTGACAGGTATTGTGCAGTCGATGCTGGCGGATAAACCTTCACTGAAGACGGTGTTGATATCGTTGGATGAGTGGATGCAAAACAACTCCATTACTCAGACAAATTCTGCCGTGGTGACCTTTGGTGAATGGGACATGGCTTCAGCGTACGTAATGAATTGCTTTCAATATATAATGGCAAATCTTATCGTAAATATTACATGTATAAGACAGCATAGTTACTGATGCACCCGATAATGCCATTTATTAATGCTTAGATCCTTTGGGAATTTGCGGGCCATGACGTTTCTGCACATTGAAAACCTTTCCTAATATCTGACGGAACTTTGTCGGGATTTTAACAATGACAACGCTCTGATGTGATGTTGCACACACATAGAAATTAAAAAACTTCAAGTTACGCTTTCAGTGCTTAGCGATCTCATCTCGTCAAATGAAGCGTTGTTAGTGCGTATACGTGCATCGTTCTTTCCAAAGACATCTATATATACGTGATGAGCGAATTATTCCTGCGAAGTTGTGTACAGTATATGATGAAAAATATTTTATTTTCTTACAAGCAAATATTCTGATCACGTAATATAAGTATGCAAGTAATTTTCGAGCCAGTCGCATGTCAAAAGAAAGTGAATTAGCTAATTATGCCAGAGAAGTTTTTAAAAGAATTGATAATAAAATCTATCTTGTCACCTACAAATTTGCTTGTTTATAGAATACCTAACAGTCTTTATCTGACCGAGTTTTATCCTTATATTTTAATACCATACATATGACAGTAGACAATCTGCGCAAACGTAAGGGTACTTGTGTAACTGGTTCAAGAGTTTCACAATTTTTAAATACAAAGATCTTACGTAGGTTAAAAGGTAAAGATGGTTTTCCCACCATTCGAGTTGAATTTTAGAAACAAATTTATTTCTTTGTATTCGCGATTATCGTCCGGTTTCGCCAGAATTTTTTTGCCGGGCTTGCTATGGAACAATCTATCCACTTCATTGTTAAATATTCGTTACATATTTTATTCGCCAGCAATCCGAACAGACGGTAATCCATCGATGAGACGTTCGGAAAATATCGCGGGTGCGAGGGAACTGTCCGTTCAAGCTTTTAGGGGACTAGAGCATCAGCGTTTCTGTTGTGTGGCTTAGTATCCTTATGGAGAAGCATTGTTTTGTTTCTGTGACTTTTTTTTGCTGGCTAGTATCGTTTATTCGATGCAACTGGGCGGCACAGAAGTCACTGTCGACCCCTCTTGTTAAGTGTTCTTCAATGTGTAAGACCCCTTCAGCCGAACTGATTTTTCCGGCATTTCATGTTCTGAGCAAAGTAATAATTGTATTGATTTTCGCAGCTTAGAAAGTGTATTTCACTCTATTTAACTCTAAAAAATAGGTGTCATATACAACTAGTTGGTGTCGACCACAGAATTAAAAACCATTTTTAGTGAAAATGAAATAAGATATCTAACTCTGACGCCTGATTATGCATGAAGCGTGTCATTCCTTTTTTTTAGGCATTAATTTATCTAGACGTTATAATTTGTATCCGCTTTTTAACACAAAGCCTTTGATGTGATTTCAGGCTAGTAAATCAATGTCAATATCTGGGCATCGCTGTGCCTCCTATATTTAGGCAGTGGATCAATTTAAAAAAGTCTTTACTTGAACACACGCGACAATGGCCAAGAAACCTGAGTGCAGCCCTGAGAAACGCCTGTATAGAACAAAAAGGCAGACCCCATTCTGGAATTGGTATGTTTTTCAGTATTTATTGTGACTAATCTCGAAATCATTTTTACAGCCGCTTTTAACTGTCCTTGACCTAACTTATGATAAAGGTAGTTTGAGTCCGGAAACTCCCTTCCTTTAGAAATTGTATACTATTCATTTCTCCTATTTTGCGCTTTCTATATTTTGGCTGCGTAGCGAAACGTTCCTTGGCCTGTACCAAGGCTCATGTTTATAAAATTCAGTTATCTGAGTTATGAGCGACCCAACGACAAAAGTGTCTTGGCAGTCTCTAAATTCGAATTCGTAAGGTAGTGAATTCATAAAATGTTACTTACTTAATACAATACTTCCTTCTCTTTTATGCACAATATAGCTTAAACTTTTTTTTTGTAATTATGGATATACAAAAGTGTGTGCCATAAACATCTCGCGAATCACTTGACGACTACATTTATGGCCAACCAACGCCAATTCGATACGTAGTATTTTTAACTGACAACCGTAAATATATCAGATTATATTGATCATGTTGCGATTTTTAGGTAAACGGGATATCATATACAAGTTGAAAGTAAACATGTGATAATTTTTATTTCTGATTTTGTTTTCAGATGATTGCCTTAACATAGCAGAGCTGATGAGATACCTTGCGCGTAGTGGTTACGTATTTCATTTCACAGGAGGAAATAATTTACCAAAGTATGATTAGTTTGATACATTTTATATGACCGTAGTTATGTACACGCATTGCGGCAGTGGAATTAAAGTAAGATACTTTATTTGAAAACCATTTATTGCGCGACTATTTTTTTTTATCTCTAACGAGTAATAATTTAAATCTATAGCAGAGGATACTCTACTATTATATGGAAATTGATACTAAAAATGGTGATATCCCAAATAAAGCAATAGAAGAGAGATACTGCCTCTTTTGAGTATGACTGCTTTACTTATCAGTAGCGTGTCATCGATGTAAAACCCAGGTTTGTCATATTTTACATCTTTTGTTGCGCTGTTAATGTCACATATGCAGCAGAACTTGCAAAGCATGCTATTGACAAATATGATGCGGTCAACCCCGCCTCAAGCCATTTACAGGCTGTGGCTGTAGATAACTTGAGATTACCACGAAAACGGTTCGATTCGAATGTGTTACTTTCTCGAAAAAAGAGGAAGTGCGCGTAGGCAAATATATATCCGGGCATATTCATCTATTGTAGAAAAAAGTCTATACCAAAAACTTCCGTAACCGGGTCTTTCAGAAGGCACATAACGGACCCTTTGCTGGGGACGGTGAAGGTAAGCCGCCGTCCAGGATACGCTAGTAGGTGACTTCGCTAAATCCTATACGAGACACACACACTAAAGTAAACGGCAGAGACCGTTTCTACCGGCAGACGTACAATGGATAAGACTCACAGGTTTACGAGAAGGGCGGGATTCGAAAGCATCGAACGCCAGGGATCGCATGAAGAAGTGGAAATCAGATGAGACAGAGAGTGCTGTTGCTGTGCCGAAACACCAAAGGTACAATACTACCGATCAGCTTATAATGTGGTTTCTGAAATCTTAGCCAGCTGGCACGGCTGCTCGCCACATACGGAAGCATCCAGCAAGATATTCAGATGGCGCTCAAAAGACTATTTAAGGAAATGCCTAAAATGGATAGGCCAGACAAGATTAGCGAACTTAACAGAAAAAGAAAAAAGAACAGGAACTCTGTAAAGAAAAAAAAGGCCCTCAGCGAAAAAATTAAAAAAACTTGAGAAAGACCTAGATATCTCAGGAAAGAAGCAGTAAAGGAAAAAAGTATCGAAGACAAGTCAGCCCTATTTGTTTGAAACAGCAAAAAAAGGAATGATGAAGGAAATTAAGGTAGACGGGCTGGTAGTTAAAACTGAGAAAAAAAGAAGTTATAACTACTGAAGATAAGGCGAAAGCACTAGTTAAGGAATGGCCGGATAAGCTGTTCCTGCGGTCGAGTCTGAGAAGCATAAATATCTTAGTGACCACTGAAGCCTGGCCATACTGCTCACCAGAGGCTCCGATAAGGGTGCAGCCGTGCTAGGGCAGCTCCTGGTTTGCTCGTGAAGCTTCTAATTTTCTAATTTGCACCAAAGGGGTTCTAGAAATTCCTGCGGATTTGAAGAGAGCCAATGACGGAGAGTAAACTTCCACTGCCCCTGAATCCCTATAGCCATTAGATCACTAGTACTGGGGATGGTTCGCTCCCTCGAGCCCGTAGAAAGCTAGTTTGAAGTCTTTGAAAATATGGTGACTGAGACAAAATAGTTAAACGTAAAAAAGTTTTGGTATATTCCGGAGGAGTAGATCAAAGGACCAGTAGGGAAACCCTTAGAAATACATCATGCCAGAGAGCCAGCAAATGACATCATTTTCGAACTTTACCGCAATAAACAGACAGAGGAGCCATTCTAGCCTACAGGCACCAAATAAAGAACTTCCTCAAAGTAAGCAGAAAAGTCGCAGAAAATGCTTAATATACCTAAAATAATATATTTGCAATATTAACGATAAAACAAGCTAGTTGCAATGGAAATTCGTATGGACTTCCAAGTAAGGTATTCTATCGGTATTTTAATATTATTAGCTAGAATGATGGTCATGGCTTTTTCACTTTACTCTGCATGACCATTTTTTCTTATTTCGTCATCAGTTCGATCTATGGTCTACTGGTTCATTAAATGAGACACTCTGCGATTGGGAGAAGAATAAGTTTATTATTTTGTTATCATTTCAAAGGGCTGCGATTTGTTAAGTCGCCATAATAATATTTTTGTTGTTGTTGTCGTCCTCGTTTTCTCTTTTTTAATGTCAGCATCAACGTCCTTTATATATTTATTTCGTTTATTGGTATTTAGTAATCGTCATGGAACCATTTTTTTGATGATCTCAGCGCTACTAATAGCGGTTACTAAAATTATAATAATAATGTAATTGTTATCCTCATGAATCATTGTCATAGTATTAATATACTATTATTCTTATCATTCAATAAATAGTTCAATAATATCATTATCGCGTATCGTTTCTGTCCATTTTATCACCCTTGCCGCCGGCACTGTGATGGCCGCAGCATCCTGTAGCCTTGTCCCATTATGGTCACGATCTTCTTACGTATTTGCTATTACTATATTATCAATCAGTCAATCAGTCAATGTATTATTATTATCCTTATGTGTATATATGAATTTTGTTGCACGTAACTTTTTGGATACACTGACTTCCTTCTTGGTATTCAATTATTTCTTGTATTTTATAGGCATTTAATAGGCGTCAAAGAAGATCTTGTGGGTCTATACTTTTCTATATTGTGTGCCAGCCATTTTTCTCCTGCTTCGCTAGTTGCTATTGATCTTATTCTGAAGCATTTTTGGGTACGACTTTCGTAAGTCAGTAGAACCTTGTGCTATGCGTCGTCAGTTTTAGAAGAGTTGAGTTTGTTCGTTGATTAGTTTTTTGTTATTAAGTTTAACAATCAATAAAGCGGTGAAATAAGTATACGTCTCGAATGTTGCTTGCCCACCATAATTTGTTCTCTGATGCTTTTGTTTCACACATCGCTTCGGCAGACAATTTCACAGAGTCTTCTATATTTTGCCTATCTTTTTTTGTTGACCTCTGTGGCTGATCCTATTGTTGGTAGGCTCCTGGTTGTTGTTATTTTTTGTGCAACCGCAGATCACAGCAGGCAGCAGCCTGTTGTACAGCCTTTGCTAGGTTACTTATGGAGAAGTTTTGCTTTTTCGTGAAGCAGTAAACAATGCTTAGTCCGTACGTGATGTCTGCTGATACATTCGACTTTCTGTTTATATCTGATGGTATTGTCATTCTTCGTATAGTGTTTTAGTGTTAAAATGCGAGCGGATAGATTTGTCTGCCAGTTAGATCTCCGTGTTCATTTCGTTTCTGTTTGCTTTGTTGTAGCAAAAGCAAGAATATCGCGTTAATCAGTATTACTGTCAATCCGTTCCGAGCTACTGGAAATGTCGTCCACATTTTTTGTGAACACCCGTCTCGGTGTCATGCATGGCTGGCATACGTTCATAGGCTTTTTTTGACGAACCACTGCGATGAAGCTATTTCTTTATATATATATATATGTTTACGTTTTATGAACATGCTAATGTGAACGTTAATTTTTTTTTGTGCAGTATCATTTTGTTATTTGTCCTTTAATATGTTCTTGTTATCTTCGTACTTGCTTTGTTTTCTACCTATCTCCTTTTGTTCAGTTGATCAATAACTTCCCGTTGCGAATATGGGCTCGATACGTTTCTCTGTTTTTGCTTTATCATATTAATTTCGAATTGAATGGCGAATGAAAATCTGTACAGCAAACTAAACACCTTGTGGAGGTCATTGCAGCAGAAGCTTTATCCGCGTAAACGAAACCTGATTCAAATTAGAAAAATCACGCTGGTCTGTGTTGTTGGGCATCGCTATGAAAAAAAATTCTATTTTAGGTATTCCCATAGGTGGTCTGAGAAGTATTGTTCAGCGTGGTCTTGCCTAAAACACCCTGTTCGGTCTACAAGATCCTAGCTGATAGGTTAGCAGGTTGTATTAGAGTGTATGTATGTTTGTGTGTTAGTAGAGACAGTACCGTCTCGTCTGAACATTCGTCGTGTTCTTATATTTGTATTTAATTTTCTTGCGATTTGCTATAAACACCGCTGGGTGGTTATGTGAAATATATTTTCTGGAACAAATCCAAATGTAGCCACTGAACTCATGGATTTATACAAAGAGCCATAAAAGTACTAGTGGCTTTAGTTTCTCAGTGACCCGTTGTAAGCAAGTTGTCGGGGGTCTTGCGTCCGCCTTACTTATTGACGTCAAGGAGAACTTGGTACTATTTTCAGACGAATGACAACATGCGACATAATTGGGTAGGTAAGTGCACACGTATCTCAGGCAACTTAATTTCAGGTTCAAGGCATCGAGTCTGTCCTTTTAGGCCAAAAAAAACCTACTTACTCATAAATGCGCATCTTGAGGCACCTTTCATGTAAAATTTGTTTCAGTGTTGTTCAGCTCAATCTGTGCGTATCGTCGTTGCCGCGGTGCATGAATTTTGAGATATGCCTGCAATGTTTTGTTCTGCTTAAAGAATTATTCGTTCGTTTTTTGACACCAATATAATGAGTACATATATATGGCCACAGATAGCATGGCACCCCGAAAATGCGACCTGAACCACTGAATATTTTGGGGATATTTCATCTGTTATATTAGTGTTAGGTTCTTGGTATTTATCTGAGAATGGCGATTCGGCAATATCTAATTTCGCATCGTCTGTTAAGTTTTGGCCTGTATGTCACAGGTATAGCATATTGTCGCATACCTTGACTGCATATCTACAGCATTTGTGCATCTGGCGTCTACAAGATCTATACGCTAAAAGATCTTGAAAAAGATCAGACTACTAGATACAACTGAGTTCGTACACTCCGCTCGCATCTCCTGATTGGGTTACCCTGTACTGTCTTTTCTTTGTTTTATTGTGAATCATTATTTATGTACGTTTTTTGGGCATGCATATGGACTTCATATGGCGTTATTACCTAGCCCTTTTTGCTTTTTTGTTTCTGTTACCGTGTACATTATAGACCTTTTCTTTTGTTTTTGCCTTCGCAGCAACTTGAAACGCCATAAGGTAGTTGCCAAGTTAACATGATTGTTAGTTTTTTGACAGTTCTTTTCAATGTCGACTCATTACTAACGGCAATGGCCTCTTCGTTGTTAATTAGGCATCGTTCCTAATTGATGAGTATAATCTTTGCAGTCTTCTGCTCCGGCATCTGCCAGAAGTATGCTTGTGTCTTTTACATGAAGACTTGAAGCTTCATAAGTTGCGGAAAGCCTAGTTTTTTCGGATCCAAGAATGCTTTTTTGTCGGGCAAGGCAAGAAACCTTCACGAGTATAATTTGTGTTTGACTGCGGATTCTGACTTCTAAAATGAATCGAGGGTGAACAAAAGGCGAATCGAATAATAGTCAAGTTTAACATTTTTTTTTTGGGTTTTGCTATTTAGCACCATAACAGGTATTGAACTGAATCATAATCTTGCTGTTGCTGACGCGGCTGTCAGCCTTGTTATTAACCTGTCGAAATACAAATGTTTTCGACTTTAGTCGTTCATTCACTTGCTGAAGTTCAGCTGCTTTTTTTTTTATCTGTTAGACTTTACTTCTCCTTTTGATAGAGCTATTTTTGTTGCTGCTTGTTTCGGTAGTGTCGATGCTTGTCGGATGCTGTCTGTGACGCTGTAATTTAATCAGCTGTGAAATAAACTACCTTTGTTTTTAGTATCTTTTAAGATCTATGAGCAGCGCTTTTGTCTGAGTCTCCTATCTAATATTTTTGTATATATATATATATGATCAGCGCTCTTTGTTGACCTGTTATCGCCTCTTGCTCCTCACCTCTTATTGACCAATACTATTCCTCTTTATAGACGCTCGTCATCAATACATATATGTACAACACAATTGAGTCGCTCATTTTTGTCTATTTCTCTAATGACTAGTATTCATAAGGAAGGTTGACGGTAGCTACGTTGCATTTTCGGGAAGTCGATCGGGGACGCCATTACTGCTGTGGAAAGAACAGGTTTCTTGATCATATCGAAGTTTTTGCACATGGCTCCTCCACATAAAGAAATTTTAATGCAAATCAAACAAATAAATAAACGGGGATAAGTTATTCTGTTTTAGGATTCCTTCAGAGTTCCTCTACATGGATAGAGGCCTTACAAGGCTACTGTTTGTATAGGGAATCGCGTTCCCTAACGGCTTGACACAGTTCTGAAGTCCACGCAGCAAATAAACGGTGCCTATCCGATTGTCCGTACAGTTTTCGCTGAGTCATTTTTCGTCGTTCGCTTTTGTCACGACAATTCAGTATTTTTAAATGTATTTTGGTAAACAACGTAAGTCTAAATTATTTCTAAATAGATTTTCTTTTCCGTCACGCTGTTCTCTTCCGATTATAGTTTTGCAGTAGTTTCATATATTTTGATTTTCGCGTAGTGTCGGCGTAAACTCAGCTAGCTTACTCCGAGCGTTTTCCGAGCCCAAAGTTATACTTCCTTTTGCGATATTCCTCATTGTCACTCATGGGCCATGGTCGCTTGCCTAGACCGAAGTTGTATTGTCGCCGCTTGAAGGTGGAGAATGTGGGCTCATCTTGAAACCTATAAAATTCAACGGAGAAGAAAGGACAAAAGAACAAGGAATTTATACTTGACTAGCCGACAAGGTTTGCCTGTTTGTTATATCGGTTCTATGGTTCCATGTATGTCAGCCTTTGCTGGCAAAAGTAATATTTGAAGCGTATATTTTATAAGCTAGACTAAGGCCCTTGCGTCTCACTCACTGTAAACCGTTATACCCAGATGAGCAAAAAAGAATTAGCTTTAGTCTAAATCAATAAAGGACTACATAAGTTTCGTGGAAAATATCAGTGTATATTAGTCGTTCCTGTTTCACAGTTTCATTCTGAGATTTAACTTATTATGAATCGATACAATTTTTGCCTATTTTATGGTACTGCGCATTGTAACTGGCGGTTAAGGAAGTTGAATTAAGTTTGATAGTTCGAACTGCTTTACTAGAGGAAATTTCTAAAGCAGAACTACTGACTAACCTCCGACTAACTAGATTCTCGAAGTACATTTAATTGGTGTAGGGTCAGCATTGTAGACACTCTCAGCTTTTCTCATAGGGCGATAAAGCGAGAACCAAACAAACGTAGTTATTGCACAAAATTTTTAAACACGGAGCACTCACAGGAAATTGACAAATATTGGAAAGGTTGCTGTTGACGAGCAGCGCGTTTATTCAATGTTACTGCTAGAGTTGCTATGTCTTTGTACGTGGCAGATTCGGCCGAAGCTCGAGAAAGACCTTTAATGCCTCATGAAGCAGCAGGTCATATAGATTCGAAAGTATTTTGATGTACGAATGCCGACGCTACGGATGACTATGCACAGGTCAAGTCAGAAATGTATGACCATGTTTTCCATTGCATCGAAACGTATTTACTATACCGATCTTAACATTACCTTTTTTTCAAAAGCAGCTACCACCTATTTATTCACAAGTGTGCTTGAGGAGGTATATTTGTCACTATTGTTGACACTCATGATTGCTTGGAAATAATGTGTTTGCCTATTGGTAAACAACAGAGGGTATTTCTTCCCAGTTACCTCGCGTACTCGCGTCCCTGATAGGATTGCATGTCGCGTACCAATTATGGAAAGCTGGGCACAAGGTTGACCTAGCAACTATTTGTTCATATTCCCGTCTTTCGTTCCAGACCATTCGCTACACTGTTAGGACATTTAACGGATGTAGGCGCTAGAGCCGCAACGAGCCAAAAAAGCGGAAACCTACGTACGTTAAACCATAATATCAAGGTGTCCTACTATATCTCATGAAGGTGAGATGGCAATGCCTTCATCGGCACTTCAATAGGATTATCTTAAGCTGTGATGCATTATTGCCGGCTCTTGCGGTGTAGATAGAAGGTATAGACGACGTTATTTGTGGTGCCACTACTTGAATAGCAGTATGCCTAACCCTGGTTCGATTGCTGGATGACAACTGGTGGGCGACATGCTATCGGCAGGTAGTTCATGGTTGAACTGACATTGTTTTCAGGTGTTTGTGATAGCAAAAGGATAGTCTGTTCTTTTGGGCTTTTCTCGATTGAACATATATTATGACTTGGTTTTAGCAAAAAAAAAAGCAGTACTCTGTTTACAAGCTCACAATTTATGTAGCATAGTGCTATCGTCTACACTTATATTAAAGCATAGGAACTTGTTGAGTAAAAATCTGGATCATTTTACCACCAAGCTTGAAGACCTTTAATGGCAGGAAATACACGAATCACCACTGACACAATCGACTTCCGTTAATGGGTAGCTCGTTAAGAGCGCAGCGCAGAAACCCATTTCCAATTAAATATTACCGTCTCTAATTTGCCAAATACACAGTCTATCCTGAAATAATTTCGATGCAGAGAAAGGAACTTTAAAGGAGCTCCACCGGCTAGTTCAGTGCTGGCCGTTCGACATCAGTAAGTAGTAGAGAGTTTATTAAAGTCATGCTAAAAGTTGCATGTAAAACTGCTGGACATTTTTTGTCTTTAAAAGGAGAAGCAATAATATTATTATGATTCGAAATAGAAGGCAATATAATTTTACTGCAAGATATAGATGGTTCATCAAATTCAGTATTCTTTTTTTTTTTTTATATAGATGAAACTGTTTGGACTTGACCAGAGCAAACTATTTGACTGAGAGCATATTTGCAAGAATGATTTTTTATGATTTTAGTAAATTAGGCACAACTACTATCACCGGAGATGTGATTCTGTGATCTATCAGCAACTTAGCTTTATTCTTCTGCGAATGCATTAAAGCTAATTCACGGCTAAATTAGGTGAATTTCTAAGAATATTAGGACTTTTGCTGAATAGCCCTGTTTGTATTTTTCGTTAGAGTCGTCGTGACCTTAGTAAGCTTACCGATAAATTTACTGTATCTATACAATTAATTCATCGTATGTATATGTTGTTATATAAATGTACATAACAACACATTGGTGTACGCTGATTTGTTTATACACGGGTAGTTTATTTTCGTTTTGAGAACTCAATTGTATTGTCTAAGTATACAAACTAAAAAAAATACATTGTTAAGATCGGCGTATCTGATCAGAGAGATTGTCCAACAATGGTACTCCAGCGCAGTGCGCCGCATAGTAGATGGGGCACATTGCACTATACATATAGCCTCTGGCAGATGAAAATCCACTGGCCTGCAGGTTATGTAATGTATTGCCAAACGTGTAATTACGTGCCGGTTCATTCTACTCGGCCCTTTCCAGGCTTCATTAATCATAGCTTTCGCATTATAGAAGTCAGGATCGATCTCCGCCATCTTTCTCTCTTATGTGCTGAACTGAGCCAGCGCTATGCACAAGAACAGTCTCCACGGTTTACGTATTTCCACACTCGCAACCGTCACTCGCAACCATCACTCGCTGCATTCTATCCATGATAGAACGTCACGGTTCAACCGTTCGAGGGCAAGTCAGCCCCCACGGACAAAAGCGTCCGTGTACGTATCATCATGGTGGAACGTCCTGTAAAAAATTTATGTCGTTCAGCCAGAATACATAGGTTTCCAAGAATTTCGTCAGCCGACGTGTGATAAGGTGAGCCAAAAGCGTATGGCGGCAGATTTTGTTGACGATTGTTTTTTATGCAAATGGCTCGAAAAGCTTGTTTTTGTTTTGGGACGAGCGTCACTCTAGCTTGTCGATAGGCGTCCATGTCGTAAACATGCACTGAATAGAATTGTCCAGCGGGAGAACATGCCAAGCGCACTTTTCAAGAACCCATTGTGGCTCAGAGGCGCTCTGGCCGTTTTGTTCTAAAGACGTTGTTCAACCCAAACACGAAAAACCAAGCCCTTTGGCATATTCTAGATCTTTATTCATCATATGCGCCACTGTACTAAAGCATGATTTATTGGGTGGCCGTTGTCGTCGTGCACGTACTTTTCAAGCACTCCATCAGCTCTGCAGGGTTGATAGGTCACGGTGTTTGACTTCCTTTCTCTACTCAATTGTATGGTTCGCTTCCAGTATGTATGTATCATTAAGCCGGATGACGCTTGGTCAATTTTAGCGTATGGCACAGTGCAGCAACGGGTATTTAAAACTAAAACATCGACTGAGATACGGGCATTGTCGGCATGGTTTTGAATAAATTACGGATCATTTTAGCACTTCGGTCAAGGGTTCAGCATAAACCTCAATGTATGGATCACGATACTGGGAATAGGGCCGTCAGTTTGGGTCCTAACTCTGTCGGATCTAGCGTTTTAGATAGCCCCGAATTCCTTCTTTGCGCAGTTACTCTTTCCTAGAGGAGCTGCTCTACTACCGGTACGTCATCTCGCTTAGCCTTGTTTTTTTTAATGTATCAAGCTTTTACTCCACATATAAGCTTTGAAATTCTCCCCTCATTCCGCGCATACACACAAGCATTTCTACTGGGTTGTTAACGTCGGCAGATGAATGGTATTTCGTTATGGGCAGAATAACTCCCATCTCTAATTCGCCTTGTTGGCAAGTCTAGCGAGATTAGATCGTCGTGCGTATGCAATATTATATGTATTATATGCACCGCCAGGAAATAAGCCGACAAATTAAATGAGTATAGATACAAAGGTTCAGATTTCGACAGAACAGGAGCTTTTTCAAGCGATTCTGATCCAACAGGTTAGAAAGTATCATGGAAATTTCATCAGATAAATAGACTTGAAATTCAGGATCAGTGCAAATGTGATGAAGGTTTCTGGCTGTAAGAGTCTCATAAAAAACAACAAGAACCATAAATGATTTAATTTATTATATATGAATTGCCAAAGAAATGCTACTGACGGCTGAGCTGGTGTAGGTTCCGGACTACGTTTGCCAAGTCCAAACCCGTAACGGTGATTTGCATTTGGCCGCTTGACAAGGACGTCATAAAAAAGTTGCTCTTCTGGAGATAGCGATTGAACCATTTCCGCAACTCCGGACCGGTCACGATCATCCTGGGCGGCCGTAGGGACCGCCGATAGAAAGGTTAGTGCTAGGAGAACACAAAGAGTGGCAGGCCCCAGGGGCAAGAACGCGTTTATCCTGGAACAACAATTTGCAAATAGCGTATTTAGTATATTATAGATGTACGTATATATATGTATTTATATACATATATATATATATATATATATATATATATATATATATGCGAGGCGGAGCTAAAATTGCTTCACAGATAAATACTGTACGGATGTAAGGCGAAAAACTAGAATCTATCAAGAGATTTTTGGCACACCCTGTATATGCATATATACAGAGTATGTAAATCTTCAACTTAGGACCTAAAACACTCCCACCTCAATTTCAAAAATATTCATTTTTAACTCCTCAAATAATTTTTAGTAGTAACTCTCCGTGAAACGGTATTTATAGGTGTGAACCCATAGAAGTGTCGTTCAGATATGCTCCGTACAAAAACATTCAGAATTATATTTTAGGCTGGTAACAGGCTAAGAATCCCATAAATGCAAGGATTCAAAACTGCCAATAAGAATAAAAGGCGTAAAAAGGCACGCAGACTCTGAAGATTAACCGTCGGATCTAAGTGGATGATCCAAGGAGCAATTTACATTCTGCTTCTCAAAAGAGCTAATCATTTACATGTTAATGCTCTAGATGCATCAAAAAATACATTTTCGAGTTTTGTTTTATCAAAATTCGACTGAAGATGTCCTGGTAAGCCCTCTGAAAATCTTTTCAGATTTTTTTCGGAAACCAGACGAAAACGTACGCCGTTAATTTCGGCCAGGAAGGAAAGTTTATAATTTCTGCAAAAGGTCTCATCCCGCGTAAATACATTGGATAATAGCTGATATTCGCCAAAAAAATCTCAAAAACGACGCACTGCCTTTTACCATGACGCGAAAGTATATATCACGACGTTCACTTGATTCTGTGTTAACTTGCATACTCGCTTACATTCGAGTAAATCCAAAGCTCGTGAGTCGTTCTAACAGTTCTAAGTCGAGTTTTACGAATGTCGTGACGACGTTGGCCTTTCGACATCGGTGACCGCTTTCGGGCTGGGACGGAACGGCTTAGAAGTGGCTACCTAGCCAAAGGTAGCTATCACTAATGTATGTAACGGGTTTGCATGGTGTTGATTAACCATTGTGCGTATACGGTAAAACATAACTATTTGCTTGAGCATCACATATGAGGGATACAGATTGCCTCTCGTTCTTAAAGGTATTCCCAGGACGAGCAAATGGGTCGCTCTATATGTATGACTTATCTTTGATAACAGCATGCTTATACCTGCCTGCCATCTTCACCCGGAAAGAAAAGCAGTTCTATACCTTTGACTGATAAACCGCCTGTGTAAGTGGAAGGCCAAATGCAACGGTCGTCCTTTGAGAAATCATTGAACTAATTATAAAGCTCTGATTAACTAAAATTATGTGCACTGCGAAATCGCTGATCGTCAGGAACTAATTAAATCGATCGATACCGGCCAAGTCTTTCATTCTATTCAAGCTATAGATGCAGGACGTTATTACAATTATATACAGACACATAAAGGCAAATAAGAGTGTTGTGGAAATGACATACGATATTAAATTTGTCAAGCAATTTAGCTATTTTAGATAATTTACTTAATATTACATATTTACCACTTTTGTTTGACCAACGCGCTTATCGGACAAATACAATCGTTTAGTACCCAGGTACGAGCAGCTGACGTACGGCATGACATGTAATTTTCTGTGGCTTTTTCATTTATCAGTACAGCTAAACCTGAAAACGAATGTTACAGATTTCGTCTCGTTGTGTTTTATTCGATTTAAAAAATATCATATGAAAAAAAAGTTATACACAAATGATAAAATGTATATACAAAGATGATGCTTGACATGACGCCACCATAGGCAATTGTTTCAACCTTGAACAACAGTATTCGTGGGAGTAAAACTCCGTTCGAAAAATCGACATGTAAGCTACGTTCGGATACGTCGAACGTTGCATTAGCGGCTTGTCACAGTAGCGCCAATCGACAACAGAGAGATGAAATGCTCTGGCCAGTTTTCTTCGAGTTTAGTTATTTACGACATAGGAGATATTCAGAAGCCCATTAAACTTAGGGATGCGCGGTGATCTGGGTTTGAATCCAGGCATAGACGTACGTCGCTCTAAGCCAGCTGCTTGAAATTATGCCTGACGGTTTACGTAACGGACTTAAAATTTGAAACATCTGATTCAAACAACAGAGCTTCCCGCAGTTGCTTTTTTATCAAGTCATACTGGATACAACAAGAGCTTCTCGAAGATGTGTCCTTTATTTCTTGTGGTTGTGTATTCTTCGGCAGCGGCCTTTCAGTTTGATTAGTAGCTGCGGTTGCGATATAGATTCCCTGATTGACAACTCCCAAGACAATGCAAAAACGGCAATAACGTCCAATTTATGTCTGCCAAACGAGTATTCGCTGCATGCGCACCGTACGTGAGGTCAAACACGATGCCTTTTTAGATTAGTGTAGAGTTTCCCAATCCCCGTTCACATAAGGAAAATAGAAAATCTTCAAAACGGCCCCGGGAAGTTCGCCACGTCGAGGACATCTTTTCTGGCACTGAATCATTTGTAGACATTATACAGAAATGTTGTTCCATTTGCCCACTAGATAAATTCTGCGGGACCTGAGCGATCTCGGCTTTACCTGGCTCTGCCGGTTTTCGTGCCTATAGTTTCAGCTACCACACCAGCTCATGGCGCTTATGGAATGGTTTTGCCTTAGACGAAAGAAGAAACGAATGAAGTAAAGGAAATGTACATTAACGTTATTGGTGTATATCGGACGTTTTCTGACCGTTTCAGGCAACGCAAAAGAGAGAGAGAAATAGATAGATAGAGAGAGGGAACGACCTTTAAATGTACCAAACTTGAACGACTATTTAATTTTGCTTTTGTTTAACTAGAGCTCTGTTTGCATTGTACGTTTACATTGTTCCCTCTTTATTTTTAATGTTTTTGCGGTATATGCGTGGCCTTTATTAGTGAACTTAGAGAGATCGACACACCTCTGTCTTAAGAAACCTTCTGTTAGTAGCGTAAGCTGAATTTCTTTTTAGATTGTTTTTTCTGTATAATTAGAGCTACTTTGAATTGGAATGAGATTCGTAGAATACCTCTGGTGATGTAATTGACATCTCTGGCAAAGTTAATCCAACAAGTTTATAATAACTGTATATTTCAATCACGCTGCTTGTTAGGCTTTCCTCTCTTAGAAAAGCTAAAAATGACTTGCCTTAATTTACGACCTCCCTTTTACTCTTAGTCTTAATTGTTGCAAAAAGATACTATATATAAAGAAAATAAGTAGTTTTTTTTTCAAAAGAAGTGTTTAAATATAGTTTCGGCATTACTGTTCCGAGCTTCATTTAATTCATCAGGAGTAATTTTCTTGTTATAAGTTGTATACTTTTTGTCCTCACCAATGAGGACATCGATTCGGAAAACGTCTAAAACCCCAGTGCAACCAAACGGTTAAGTGTCATCCACCTTCGCGGCGACCTTATGACACTAAAACGAAGTTCATAAAACTGTTCCTTTCGAGTCGGATAATATGGAAGAAGACGTAACGGATATACGCCAATCGAGGACACAGGTACGGAAAGAAATACGCGGCGAGCGGCGATTGCAGGCAGATCGTACAGACCAAAATGCTCGAGAAAAAAGGTAGCCCACACTGTGTATCAATGATTTCTTGACATCTCCGCGTTTTTAAATATTTGAATTTTCAGACCTCGGACCGAGGAATTATTTATTTCTCTCCTGCCTTCTGTTCTGCAGATTGAGTTCGAGGTTTGTACTAACAACGATAGAAATCACTTCACTTGTACGCATATACTGATCGAGATTCGGTAGAAATATATAATCATAGGAAAAAGCTAGTTCTATGGGTTTTACATGCATAGACACGCGACAACTTTTAATGACGCATTAGTTGTCCTCTTAAAGTGATAGTTCGCCAGGTGATACGGGATAACAAGCGTTTTGAGAACTGTATAGTAACTATGAATCTTCTTCTATGCTCTTGTATCTACGATTAGAAACGGTAAATAAATCGAGCCTATCTTTCAAGCAAAAGTTAGTGATGAAGATTTATAAATACGATCGTCTGCCTGACGATTCTTTCGATCTTGATTTTATATTCCTCATCTTCACGAAACTTCATGAGGAATAAAATTAAGAAAAACTGGCAGTAGTAATTGGCAAAGTAATAACGATACCTTGTTTTATTCATACAGATTTATATTTCAAACACAGTTTAGGGTTTTCACCGAGGTGAGCTGATGCACATATCAAACAAATGAACGAAAAAAAAAAAACATTAACATTCAGCTTGTCAGTGCATTAACGTTTGTTTGCTACTTGAAGGCCCTTAGGAGTCTCTGCTTCAAGTTTTGCGTACTAATAAAAGGTATTTATGGATGAAAAATTGGCGAAACAACCATGACGACATAACACTTTTCAAATAGCTAACAGGGTTTTGTGAAGGAAAAAGTTACCTCTTTTTCAGATAGATCTGCCATAAGCGTTTTACAGATTTCGAGATTTTCTCTACCACTGACATAAATCCGTATTCTGTATTAGACTGGACCAAAACACTGTATCGCTGTATTTATTGGGGGCACATCTAATGGTAAGATGCCCTTTGCAGAACATGGATATTACCACTAACGAGCTAATGCACCCACCCAGGCCTCATTATGTTCAACCACTGATAGTATCACTTCAGATCGTAAATCGAGTCTTTTTAGTTTGATTAAAGGGAGTCAGCTATGTTGGTTTTACGAAAAATTTTTTATCTTTATTTGTCATTCATTCATTCATTCCATGTGTAGCTTTGCATGCACGCACTGCATGTACCATGCTACTTGTTAAAATAATACAATCCATTGGCTATTCTCATTTAAAATTTGGACAATATATTTCTCAAACTCTAACTGTGCCGTTGGCTGAACAACGCAACACATTAAACAATCCTATTGTAAATGATAGCGTAGAAACGGACCGTTTCACAGAACCCAACGAGCGTCCC